AAAAATCCACCTAAAATATAATTTTTGTTTTTTGCTTTTAAAATATACAATAAATTGGCGCCGAATAGAATTTTGTTGCCATGTCATGTAAGTAGCCGATATAAAGAAGATTTTTGTGTTTTGACAAAGAAATGACTTTGTAAACAATTCCACTTGTAAATGTTTATATTTATTAGCTAACTCTTGTTAACTCTTGAAATTTACAAGTTGAATACCTAGTTAATTAGACTAGATATTAAGGATGAAATAATTCATATATAACTAACGGAATATACTACTGTATAACCATGAGTAGTTAACAAGCTTAGTTATAATTTTCGATAACGCTATTAGAAGACGAAGATTATCTAAAGTAATGGGATGTGTATTTGCGCAATACATTTCGAACAATCTGACCACACATTTACTTGTCAAATCAATTTATATATGAAAATTAAAGGTTAAATATAGTGACACTAGTCTTGGTAATGTGTTTACCAATTTACATGTATGTGTGGGCACATACATACATAGGGAGGAGTAATCGTTCAATGCAGACTAGGGTGGGTGAACACATCCCCAAATGGCTAGAAAAACAGTTTAACACACAAAGTTTGATAAATGCAGATGACAGACATCCATCGTCATCTACAGGAAAACATCTTCATTGAAATGAATCACAGGGTTAATAGGAAAACAGCGTTTAAGATATTATACAGGAATAATCAGGAGTGTATATTGAAGTTTGCCGAAGCGTTAGCTATTCTCATAAACTTAATCACCCATTGTGCGTACAAAAACAATTTATTGTTTAGAAGTAGTATTCATCATGGATTGACATCAGTTAGGGAACCATTGAAAATCTGGGAGCACTGGACAGCTGTTTCATCCTAGTATGGGACTCGTCAGCAGTATGCACCTACAACCGGGCTAGGGATCGAACTGAGGACCTTCAGATTTCACGGCGAACGCGTTTATTGTTTCACTTAATTTACCTTGATAACCCTTATCTGATGATATTAGCAAGACTAGTGTCATAACCTTTTCATTTATTCGCTATATTTAACCTTTAATTTTCATCTATAAATTGACTTGACAAGTAAATGTGTGATCAGATTGTTCGAAATGTATTACGCAAATACATCACATTTTTCAGATAATCTTCGTCTTTTAATAGCGTTATCGAGATTTGTTAAAGGGACTGATTAGTTAAAAATATTATTTTTCCGTTGGATTCCTAGTGGAACATAGGGCTTCAGTAACACACCTTCATTCCACTCTCCAATCTGCGGTCTTTTCAACTTTGCTCCATAAGTGCCCAAAAGCTTTCATTTCTTCCTCACATGATCTCCTCCATGTCACCCTCGCCTTAGGCGCCCAACTCGTCGTTTCCTTTTTGGATTTTACTCTACGACTTTGTGCTGAGTGCAGTAGATCTCCACACTGGTTACAGATTAATCTATCAAGGCCTGCCTTGTTTTTACCATCTCGATTTTGACATCCTTGTCTGTGCCTGCATCGCCTGTAATTGAAATGATGTTGCTTAGGTGGGTAATTGAAAGAGACTACCTCCTTTAGGTTTCTCCCGTTAATGGTGATTGGTGCTTGCTTTTGTTGTTGGGTATCTTCAACGCCTGTTCTCTATGTTCACCCAAAGGAAATCCCGTTTTGCTGCCCTCCTGCCTCTTCTGTCAACTTGTCAATTTTCCCCTGTACATCTTCAAGTTTGTGCAACATCAGACACAAGTCATCGGCGAAATCCAAGTCTTCTAGGATCTTCTCCCCACTACACCCAGCACATACACACCTCTTCTCACAACTCATCACTATTCTTTCCTGCATCATACACTCCACTCAACCACAATCACCAATATCATGGGTGATAGTAGGCGGCAGCCACCCTCGTCTTACTCCTGTCTTCACTTCATTCCACTTCACTTCACTTCACTTCAAAGGCATCACTCAGCTTGCCATTGTCAATTACTTGGCATGTGACCTCTTCATATAGCTTAGCTGTTCAATGAGATTGATAAAGGTTTGTGGTATTCCATAGAGTTGAAGCAACTGCCAAATTAAGTCATTAGACTTATCAACATTTATTATAAGAATATATTTTCATATAATCCCAGCGTGTTTAGAAAATCAAAACACGCTGAGGCTATATAGAAGAGTATAACTCTTATAATGATTCAATCGAACTCGGGCCCAACTTCTTCCAGGGCATTCGTAACAACAACAGACCGACCTCGAGACAGACTTCATATATTCCTCATTCTTTCGCTCCTTCTCTGTCATGACAAGGGTAGTATAACAAGTGCAGTATCATTTCTATTCCCATATGTATTTGGTGTTGATTGGATAAACAAAGATTCAATCGGTTATCAATCTCTCCCTCCACCCAACTAAGTTAGTTTTCAACACTGTCACCCTATCCCACCCTACTGTGTGTGACTGACTGTGTGTCATCGCATGCACAGCTATAGCCGAGTTTTCTCTACATTTCTTATCTTATTACGATCTACTAATCTTGATTTAACTTAACGTTTTTGTACTCTGTTATTCTAATCGATCCTGCATGGTTGACTGCTTTGACCTATGTACTTGACCTCACAATCATTGCAAGGGATGTGGTAAACTAGATTACTTCTCTCAATTGCATCGATAGAATCTTTTAACCTACAAAGCTTGTTTCTAAGTGAGTTTGTTGGTTTGAATGCTACTTTAATCCCAGCCAGCCTTACTGAGAATTCTTCGTAGTGCTTCTGACGTGCCTTCCATGTATGATAACACAGCAGAGGCTTTGAATTCTCTCTTAACCCTGTCGCCATTATCACCACCGTTAGTAGTGGGATTATTATTAATAACACAGTATTATTATTACTACTACTACTACTACTACTACTACTACTACTACTACTACTACTACTACTACTACTACTACTACTACTACTACTACTACTACTACTACTCACACTACTACTACTACTACTACTACTACTACTACTACTACTACTACTACTACTACTACTACTACTCACACTACTACTACTACTACTACTACTCACACTACTACTACTACTACTACTACTACTACTACTACTACTCACACTACTACTACTACTACTACTACTACTACTACTACTACTACTACTACTACTACTACTACTACTACTACTACTACTACTCACACTACTACTACTACTACTACTACTACTACTACGACTACTACTACTACTACTACTACTACTACTACTACTACTACTACTACTACTACTACTACTACTCAGTACTACTACTACTCTACTACTACTACTACTACTACTACTACTACTACTACTACTACTACTACTACTACCACTACTACTACTACTACTACTACTACTACTACTACTACCAGTGATAATATTTTTCTTTCGATTTCTTATGAATTTATTTATAAATTTTGGTGGGTTGTTATTGAGACGTAGGGTATTCTTGATGTGTCTAATTTCTTCTTGCAGATTTTCCGATGCACTAGTAAGCTTTTCGGTCTATCAGCTAAGCATTTAACTAGGCCTACTTTAACTGAAATGGAGTGGGAGGATTCGAAGTCTAAGTAGCAATTCGAATGGGTAGGTTTCTTGTAGACACTAGTCTTTAGATTTTCTTCTTGTGTCCGAAATGTACATTATCCAGTAAATGCTACTGTGTTCCTTTACTGTATGTGATATTTCTAATAAACAGACTAAAATGGAATTACACTCGATCACAGTGCTTAAGTTTTACACTTATATTACTGGATACCTAAAATTTCAACTCTGTAGATTTGTCATTTTCATATCATTTTTTACAGTAGGATTAATTCATTTTTGTCCTCATTTTCAAGGTAATTCATTGATTGGTCAACACTTACTTTTACTGTATCGAGATATCAAATTCTGGTCAAGGTCATATGTCATGTATATATATATATATATATATACATGTATTTTTGTGTTAATTGACCACTCTTCTCAGAGGAATAAATTGTTTCATCCTGTTCAGTCTTCTTGTCTATATTTTGTCTCTACTTGATTGAAGTCAATGGATCTTGGATACAAACTTACCTATCAATTAAGCGTTAGATATGATATCCTTATAGGAATATATAACAGTTACACCTTCAAATTTTTTCATAATTAAGTAAATCTTATACACTCAATTGAAGGGAATTTGATTCATCTTTTCAACGTAGTTTCTCGAAATGGGTAGTTTTCAATGAAAACTTTGTTTACTTCCATGTTAATTGGTTACTACAATATCATAGAAGCTTATGTGATCAGATTGAATGGCACGTAGTAAGCAGCAGAAACGTATTGAAATAACCAACACCATTATATACATGTATATAACTTTTAATTTCCAACAAACTACAGATATTTATCAACAACTGCTTACGCTAGCTCCTTACTGAGGCTCTGATCAGATGGTCAGAAAGGATAAGCAACAAGGAACTCTGGCTGGCTGGCTGGCTGACTGACTGACTGGCTGGCGATGAACCAACGGAGCAAGAAGCTATCGCTCAACAAATATGCACTGGAAGCAAGTGGAGATGGATTGGATTGTGCATGCAGTGAGAAGACCATTCAGGGACATGATGCGTCAGGTCAGTTGGTTGAGTGGAACTCAGATGTGAAATGAGTAGTTGGTAGTGTGAGGTGAGGTGAGGTGAGTTGAGGTGTGGTGAGGTGAGGTGAGGGTGACATGGAGGAGATGGTGTGAGGAAGAAATGAGAGATTGTGGGGATTGTGTGGATGAAGGTTGAAAGTTTGGAGAGAACGGAGTGTAATGGAGACGTGTTAGTGAAGCTGTATGTTCCACTAGGAACTAACCCAAGAGACAAATAATAATAATAATAGTAATAATAATAACAATAATAATAATATAACTGTTAAAAGGCACTTCTTTACGAAGTCGAATCTTGCACTGGTAAACCTATGGTTGTATAGTCCGAAGGTAACTTTTCAAGTGTGTTTATCAACCAGTTAAGTAGAAAAACTTACTTTTCAAAAGAGTTCTGTTGTCTAATCATTGATCCATCAGGTGATTCATATTGTTTTGTTTCAAACTGATATACAGCAAACCCATAAACTTTGACTTGATTTATCGAGTCAATTTCAATATTTTTCTTTATATCTTGATGATGATAAACACATGGAATTCCATCTAATGTCAACTTTTTAATTTGTTCTACCCAATCATTATTTTTGAGTATATTTTTTGAAATTTCACTATCACAACTATATGTAGTCCAAACTAACCTCTGAATAATGTTTTTTGTTCTTGGAGAAGATTGATTACTTTCTATAAGATGATCAAACAATTGGTTGGTCATCTTATTACATATAACAGATTCACTTGTTGATGAAGTCGATTGATATTTTGATGAATTATTTGTATATTGAAAGCTTTTTGATTCCTGTAAGGAATTCATTACACTTTATCATTGTTCATCTTATTACCATGTATATTATGTTGATGGTTAGCTGTATTGTATCTTGTGTTCACATTGATATTTGACTCATGTGTAAGTATACGTGGTTGACATAATACCTAAGTATACAGAGAAATCAGAGAATATAGATAACGAATAACTTGTTTACATCAAGTTTTAAATAATATCTTTATGATATCACCTCTGCCTTACTTTCAGAAATGATGGTATATCACAATCATTTATGCCAGAGCGTCACTATATTATACTGTGTCGAAAATCGAAGTCTCAATTGACATTGTTGTTAAGGTAAACAGTTGAATCAATGCATACAGATAGCATTGGACACTAAGCATCACCTTTATTACTATTATTATTGTTCGTCCATTGGGTTAGTTCCTAGTGGAACATACAGCTTCACTAACACGTCTCCATTACACTCTGTTCTCTGCAAACTTTCAACCTTAATCCACGACTATCCACAATCTCTCATTTCTTCCTCACACCATGTACATGGAGGAGAATTTTGATATCGCCAACTGAGGTCTTGTCCACTGTTGATTGCAGTTGTCTGTAGAGTTCCGCCTTCTTCTCTTCATCTGCATCATTTGTAGGCGAGTAGCATTGTATGATTGTGACCTTCCCTCCTTTTGAGTTGAACATTGTTGTTATGACCCTGCAGGAGATTGGTCCCCGCTGCATGCAAGTGATCCTTGGATGCTCTTGGGGACATCATGATAGCCCCTTCATAACTCAGTGTGCTCGTGGTTATCGTCTGGGTGACAATATCGCAGTAGATTATTGATTCTTCAATTGACAGTTTGGGGAGTCCACTTCCATTCCATCTACTTTCGCAAATTTCTAGCACTTCGATTTGATACCTTCTCATCTCCTTCGCAATCTGAGCAGCCTTTTTAGGTTCATACATGGTGTGGACATTCCATATGCCCATGTTTACTTTCGCTTTCATCGAGAGAAGAGAAGACACATAGACCAATTAGCTTCCCGAAGGCTTTCACCAACCGGTATCATTCGTCTCTCCAATTCCAGCTAGGAATAATATTGTTTTTATTTTTTTATATTGTTTGTGCTTCAAAGTTTGTTTAGCGGTTGGATTTGTTTTCACGCGACATGAATGCCAAACTGAGAGCTGACAACACAGGAAGAGAAGCGCTCGGTGAAATGAATGAGAATGAAGAACTGTTTGCAGAATTCTGTGCATTCAACTGCTTGGTGATTGGAAGCAGTGTGTTCAAGCACAAAGATATCCACAAAGCGACGTGGATTTCACCGGACACCAGACAGACACACTAAACATCAGATCGACTTTATCTCAGTCTCAAGTAAGTGGAGACGCAAGCAGCCTACTTTACACAAGGTCAAGAAGAGGAGCAGATGTAGGCTTAGACCATTATCTACTGCAACGAATCTCCAAAACCAAGTTGAAAGCCTTCGAAGAAGTTGGTGATAGACCACAGTTCAAGTTGAACACCCAGAACACAAACTGAACTGAAGGACGAAATTTACAAGGGACATCTTCACTTCAGCCATCAAGACAAAATGCGAGATATCGAGCAACAGACCGAAGAAACCCATGTGGATGAGCACTGGAACTCTCTGAAAGCTGTGTGGAAAGAAACCTGCATAACCGTATTAGGAAGGAAGAAGAAGCAGCAGGACAAGGAATGGATCTCGACGGACACATGGAAACTGATAGAGCAGGGAGAGGAGGATGGTGTTTAGTTTAATAGGTTGTGTTCAGTTCCTCTTTTCATTGTTCATCCCTGCACTGCACTTGTTCATCTGCTGCTGCACCATTTCCCTCTCCCTCTTCTATCAGCTTTCATATGTCCATAGAGATCCATTCCATGTCTCGTTTCTTCTTCCTTCCGAGTTCGGTTATGCAGTTCTCCTTCCACATCTCTTTCAAAGAGTTCCAGTGTTCTTCCACTCAGGTTCCTTCACGCATGTTGCTCAATGTCTCCCATTTTGTCCTGATGACTGACTGATGTGAACATGTCCTTTATAGTTTCGTCCTTCAGTTCAGTTTCTGTTCTGGGTGTTCAACTTGAACTGTGATCTACCATCACCAGCTTCTTTGAAGACTTTCAGCTTGATTTGGAACGTAGGTTTCTTGCACTAGATAGTGGTGTGAAGCTAAATCTGATCCTGTTCTTTATCTTGTGTCCAGTAGGCCGCATCAACACCTTTTTGAGATTGAGATGACGTTGATCCGATTATTAGTGTGTTCTGGTGTCTGGTGAAACCCAAGTCACTTTGTGAATATCTTTGTGTTTGAACACACTGTCTCCGATCACCAAGTCAATAAATACTCAGAAGTCTGCAAACAGTTCCCCTTTCTCATTCACTTCACACAGTGCCTCTCAACCCATCATTATTTCTACTCCTGTGTTGTTCCCTCTCCCAGTTTGGCATTCCTGTCACCCCAACCATTTGAATGAAGTTTCATGTCACCATCTGAGCTGCGGTCTTGTACATTACTCACTGCAGTCTTCTTCAGAATTCCTCATTCTTCTCTTCATCTGCATTATTTGTAGGTGCGTAGAGTAGCATAGCATAGCATAGCATTGTATGATTGTAAATCTCCTCCCTTTGGATTTGAACCGTACTGTCATGATCGTGATCCTGCTGGAGGAGATTGATTCCCACTGCATGGGAGTCAGCCTTCGATGTTGTTGGAGAAATCATGATAGCCACTCGAGAACTCGGTGTGCTGGTGATTGTCGTCTGGATGACAATATCGGAGTGGATTATTAACTCTTCTCCAGTTGACAATTTGGAGAGTTCACTTCCATTCCATCTGCTTTTGCAATCAGGACAGCATTGCTAGTCAGCCAGCTTCAGATATTGTGCGGATATTCCATGTCCCTATGTTTACTTTCGCTTTCATCGAGAGAAGACACATCAGCCAACTGGCTTTCCGATGGCTTTCGCAACTGGCGTCACTTTGTATCCCCTGATTCCAGAGAAGGATAGGTTTATTTTTTGTATTTTCTCTATACTTTGAAGTTTCTTTACCGATTGGATTGATTTCCAGGAGCATGGCCCACATTCAACCTCACCTCTTTATGAGGGCTTAGGACCGGTTAGTTAACTAGTGAACTGATAAACCAGGCGAGGTTTCGTGTTCGATTACACTATTTGAATTGGAGAAATGTTGAACTCTTGGTAACCATACTTATCAGCAGCGAGTATGTATAGAAGGAAGCAGGTAAAAAAAACGAAGATTACCGAGCAGATCATTGTTCATCAGTGCAATAGCTCGTCAATTATTTGGTACAGAACTTCAAGTGTATATGAATAATTGATTGGTATTGCAATGATTAGTTCCCATAGAGTATGTGAAAGGAATTTGCGTGATTTCCTGGCATCAAATCGGTTGCAGTTATTTGCAAACAACTTGAAGAAATATCTCACCTCTGACTGGAGAACTGAGTCAGAAGTATAATGCAATATGAAGAGTAACAAACCGAAATGAGTGTTATTTCTTATTTGTTTACTTTAGCAGACCATCAGAGCGGCAGTTGGAGAATATACAAGATTGATTAATGATTGAGTGAAATTAGTAATCTCTTGATGATTCCAGATTTCAAGGTACACTGTGGTGGAGGATGACGGGGAGACTTCTGTTAGCTCTGAGGACTATAGAAAGTGACGCCGTTGATTGCAATCGTCCCTGATGTGGGTTGGGAAGCCGCAGGGGACATCAGTAAGCACGTATGTGAGGTTGAGAAGGGTTTCCTGCTGACTGATTGCAACCAGCTAACAGATGGAAATATGTAGAGTAGTTCAGTTCGTGTTGCTACCTCAGTTTCTTGTTAGCTTAATTATTTATTCTTTCCGGGATGAAGCACGATATCATCCAGTTTTGTGTTTTGATTAAACTGACTAACTAGAAGTAAATTAATAACTTAGCACATGCTAAAGTTTACTAACAATTCTATTGAGTCAATCTTCGGCTTCCTCACAGTCTACTTTGATTCTAGACAAAACAAGATATGAAATCATCAGCTGACTGGGTAAACTTCATATAAAGCAAATATTACATTGTATTAATGACAGACAGTGGCTAGGAGTGAAATTCAGCTTGATGTACTTTTTGCCCTATTCTGAACTCATCAACTGGATGTACCTGTCTCGCAGTTAGCGATATTCTTCTTACCAGGACTGAACATGCGACAGGATAAGATAAGCAACAACACTGAAACTATATAATTCACACAAGAAGTGACTTGATAACCCAATACTCTAGTGAATAATAATTTAGAGTTTGAAGCAATCAGTTCTGAGTTCAATCCCTGATGGGAAAAAAAGTCGCTAATTGTTAGGTAGGCGTGTCCAATTGATACGTCCAGAACTGGGTAAAACGCACATCAAGGTGAATTCCACTCCTAGTCATTATCCATCATTAGAACATAGACAATATTGATGTATCCATCTAGAAGCGCTTATATCCCATTGAAGATCATTGAACCATGGGATAATACAAGCAACAATATAACCAATGCTATATCACTTACGTGTAATATTGAACAACAGAAAGCTAAACATATATTCTGAGCAATTTCATTACAATCTTTACTGATAAATAATTCACCAGTTTTCATATTTATTGAAGCATCATGTAAAATCAGAGTGAAACTATTAATTTGGTCTGGTATCTATAAGAAAAGATAAAAGGGGGAAACACATGAAAATTATGATATTCAAAAGAGGAATGAAGTGACTAGTAAGAAAATTCATGAATAAAGTTAATCATCATTTCAAACATCAGAGATGTATATCATTGTCATTTTATATGCAGAAGTATTTTATACAATGACTACTGTGAAGCTCTTGAAGTTTCAAGGAATTTCTACTAGCTGGAAGCTTGCTTTTTATCAAGCAGATTCTTCAGAATATTTTAATACAAGTGTAAAACTTATTTGTCCCTTGGGTTAGTTCCTAGTGAAACATACAGCTTCACTAACACGTCTCCATTACACTCCGTTCTCTCCAAACTTTCAACCTTCATCCACACAATCCCCACAATCTCTCATTTCTTTCTCACACCATCTCCCCCATCTCACCCTCACCTCACCTCACACTACCAACTACTCATTTCACATCTGAGTTCCACTCAACCAACTGACCTGACGCATCATGTCCCTGAATGGTCTTCTCACTGCATGCACAATCCAATCCATCTCCACTTGCTTCCAGTGCATATTTGTTGAGCGATAGCTTCTTGCTCCGTTGGTTCATCGCCAGCCAGTCAGTCAGTCAGTCAGCCAGCCAGCCAGCCAGAGTTCCTTGTTGCTTATCCTTTCTGACCATCTGATCAGAGCCTCAGTAAGGAGCTAGCGTAAGCAGTTGTTGATAAATATCTGTAGTTTGTAGGAGATCCCTTTCGTAACTCACCAAGTCTCTGAACCATCACATACAAGCACTGACTTGACTGAATTTGTGTTGAAAATCCTCATGTTGTTCACTCTTTATGCTCAGTGCAGTGCAGAAGATCTTCACACTGGTTTCATATTAATGAAGGAATGCGTGCCTTGTTGTCTTTGCAATCCTGGCTGGCTTTGACGTCCTCATGTGTGCCTGTGCCACGTGTAGTTGAAACAGTGCTGGCCAGATAGGTGAAGGAGGCTACTTCCTTTAAGTTTCTTCCATTGATGGTGATTGCAGCTTCTTCTTCCTGTTGTTGTTGTTGATGATGATAGCGTTGGTTGGGTATCTTCATCACATCTGTCTTCTTTACATTCACTTCAAGAAGGTCACGTTTTGGTTGCCCTCCCTGTCTCTTCTGTCAACTTGTCACTTCGATTTCACAATAATGAAGGTTGGTCTGTCTTGCTGTCTTCCCGATCCCGGCTTTGACATCATCATCCGTGCCTGTGGCACCTGTAACTGAAACGATGCTGCCTAGGCAGGTAGGTGAAAGAGACAACTTCCTTCAGATTTCTCCCGTCGATGGCAATTGGTGCTCGTTGTTGTTGTTGTTTCTGCTGATATTGTCATTGTTGGATATCTTCATTGCCTCTGTCTTCTCTTTGTTCTCCCGAAAGAAGTCCGGTCTTTGCTGCCTTGTCTCTTGTGCCAAATTGTTAGTTTTCGCCTATACATCTTCGAGTTTGTGTGACAGCAAATATTACACATTAATCATAATGTGCGAAATCCAAATCTTCTACAGTCTTTCCATCGGTCAACCAGCTATGCCCACCTTCTTGCTCCCCACAGTTGTTTGTTGCATGATCCAGTCCAGTGCAGTGGACAGCAATCAGGAAGGTGATCACTGATAGTAGGCAACTTTGTCTTGTCTTACTCCTGTCTTCACTTCAAACGCATCACTAAGGTTTCCATTGTGAATCAATTAGCATTTAGATGTTGAATGAGGTTGATAAAGATTTGTGACACTAAAATTGTAGAGTGAAAGTAGTTGGCAAATTAATTCTCGGTCGACGCTATCGAAGGCCTTTTGAAAATTGACGAAGTTGAGATGAAGAGTTGACTGCCATTGTATGCTCTCTTCTATGATGATGCATAGCGTAGCGGTGGTGGTGATGGTGGTTGATTCAAAAGCTTTTGAAGTGGTTGCCTCATCATTTTCTTTGTTTCTCCTCTTTTGTGATAACTAAGTTTCCCTCACTATCTTTCATTGCTTTCATCTGTGTTGATATCTCCCCAGATAGTAACCTGGTTATTTCATATATTGTTGTCAGATCTGTGTCTCTCCTACCTGCAGACTGTTCTGTTTCACTTGCAAGTGTGTCGTAGAAGTGTCTTTTGCTTTTGCATGCACTCTTCTTCACTTCTTTCTCCACTGTGGTATTTTATTAGTTGAAATCATTCCCTCTTCTCGTTGTTCATCTGTGCACTGCACTGCACTGCACTGTACTGTACTGTACTGTACTTGTTCATCTTCTGCTTCAACATCTCCCTCTCCATTCTCTATCAGCTTCTATGTGTCCGTGGAGATCTATTCCTTGTCCTGCTACTTCTTCTTCCTTCCTAACACGGTTATGCAGGTTTCCTTCCACATCTCTTTCAAGGAGTTCCAGTGTTCTTCCACACAGGTTTCTTCAGGGATGCTGCTTAATGTGTAATTCTGTAGTAGTTTTGTTTATTTGATAGATAGAACATACAATGTGATGCGGTATTACTTAACTGATGTCGACATTTCGAGGAGAAATTATCAGCGCTTATGATTATATCAATGTGTAATCACACTACTTTCAACATCTGATTTCTAAATTCCTATCTTCCACCTGATATACTTTGTTTTTTTTGGTGGTAAAGTTTTCCATATGCTTGGTATAGATGAGTGTTGCATCATTCCTATTACACATGTGTTGGTTGGGTGTTGATTCGATGAACAAATATTCAGTCATCAATCTCTCACAATTTCCATCTAATTATTGTACTCCCAAAGAAGGCCGACCTAAGTCTTTGCAAGAACTGGCGAGGAATCATGCTCCTGTCCACCCAAACCAAGCAAAATATTCTGTCGCATCATCCTAGAGAGACTAAAGGATGCGCGGCATTCAAAACTACGACCGGAACAGGCTGGCTGCCTTCACGAAGTACGAATCATATGCCAACCAAATTGCAACGCTACATTACGCATCATCATACAACAGAGTATACAATGGCAGTCAACTCAACTCTCTACCTCAACTTCATCGACCTGGAAAAGGCTTTCGACAGAGTCAACCGAGAAGTAATTTGGCAGGCAGTTGCTTCAACTCTATGGAATACCACAAACCTTTATCAATCTCATTGAACAGCTAAGCTATATGAAGAGGTCACATGCCAAGTAATTGACAATGGCAAGCTGAGTGATGCCTTTGAAGTGAAGTGAAGTGAAGTGGAATGAAGTGAAGACAGGAGTAAGACGAGGGTGGCTGCCGCCTACTATCACCCATGATATTGGTGATTGTGGTTGAGTGGAGTGTATGATGCAGGAAAGAATAGTGATGAGTTGTGAGAAGAGGTGTGTATGTGCTGGGTGTAGTGGGGAGAAGATCCTAGAAGACTTGGATTTCGCCGATGACTTGTGTCTGATGTTGCACAAACTTGAAGATGTACAGGGGAAAATTGACAAGTTGACAGAGGAGGCAGTGCAGTGCAGTCAGTGCAGTGCAGTGCAGTGCAGGGTAGGGTAGGGTAGGGTAGGGCGGCGAAGACGTGACCTTCTTGAAGTGAATGTAGAGAAGACAGAAGTGATGGTGATACTCAACCAACAACAACATGAAGAAGAAGCACCAATCATCATCAATGGGAGAAACTTGAAGGAAGTAGCCTCCTTCACCTATGTGGCCAGCACTGTTTCAACTACACTCGTCACAGGTACACACGAGGATGTCGAAGGCAGGATTGGAACAACAGCAAGATATGCTTTCATTAATCTGAAACCAGTAACGGAGATCTGCTCTCAGCACAAAGAGTGAACAACATCCTAACTTGTAATACCAGTACAGTCAAGTCAGTGCTTGTATGTGATGGTTGAGAGACTTGGCGTGTTATGAAAAGCATTTCGAACAAACTATAGATATTCATCAACAGCTGCCTACCCTCGATCATTACTTAAGCTCAGCTCAAATGGCCAGAAAGAATAAACCAAAAGGAACTCTGGCTGACTGGCAACAAATCAGCCAAGAACCTATGGTTCAACAAATATGCAGAAGGAAGTGGAGATGGATTGGGCATACAGTGAGAAGACCACCCGGGACATCACGCGTCAAGCCCTCGAGTGGGATCCAAATGGGAAAGGATGAGTTGGGCGTCTGGGGTGAGGGCGACATAGAGGAGATCGTGTGGGGAAGAAATGAGAGCTTGTGGGCTGTCGTGGAACCAGGTTCAAAAGACTGAAGAGAACAGAGTGGAATGGGGATGTGGTACTGCAGCCCTATATTCCAGTCGGAACTAACCCAAGGGAGAAACAATATGTAATAATAATAAACTGGATATACTTGCCTTCTAGTCAGTGATGTTATCCGCACTTGTCCTCGCTTTAAGCAACTTCACATATGCTATACCCATCGTACAAGAAGCAGCTAACGTGACTCAGTGGTTTAGTGGATAGCGATCTGGTGTTTGAAGTCATCGGTTCCAGCTAATGAGTCCAAACTGAGATGAAACGCGAGTCAAGCTGGATCCCACTACCAGCCGCTATCCATCATATAAATTTTCTTATTTTCTGTATTCTCTTCGGCATGAAACTTATCATTTATTGTTAACCGTCACATACTTGTCTTCTGAGCATGAGTTTTATAACGTTTGCTCTAAAAGTGACGGTGTTGTTGTATTGTATCAGTTCGTCTAACAAAGCATAATGACATACAAATCGTGAGAATCGTTAGGAAACTACATTTAGTGTCGGAAAACACTGGCTGGAAGACAGCTTCCACATTCTTATCTTGAAATAGTGGAGAATATTTATAGCTTAGGTGGATGACCTTGATTGCATTACGTTCTCTGAAGAGCTGGGTTGTTTAATCGTGAAGCTTTCATCGCCTTGCTAGACAGCGACATCATCAGCACTAACTTCAGTATGAAGTGGACTAGCTGTCAATATCTCTGCATGAGTAATTTAGTAGGTTGCCTTGATGAAGTGTTAAGTGCTCCCAGATTTACACTTACTCTACAACTGAACTCCATCAGTTCGTGATGAATACCATTCTGATGTATATACACCGTTGTAGTTTGTACATATTTCACATTGCAATGCAACGTCTGTTATCGTATCACATTTTCAATTTACTGAGGAGTTGTGTGACCATGAAGGGGGGGGGTCCTAGGGTTACTTTTCAAGTCTTCATGCTTATACACGTTTATGTGTAAGCAAAAATGTAGTCGAAGAGATGCGGGTCTATTTACCCGAATAAATATTTTCTCTGTATACTCAAAAATCGAATCTGAAATAGCGGAGAATATTTATACCTCAGGTGGTTATTCTGTGTTATCTAAGGAGTTGGGTTGTTTAATCGTGAAGCTGTCATCATGTTTCTAGATGATGTGGCTCATAAACTGATAAATTCCCTCCAAACACTATTATGCAGACCAAAGGGGGAGCAACAACCAAAGAAGACAAACCGAGCATCATTTACAAAATCAACTAGAATAACTGTAGTCAGCACTACATTGGACAAAGCGGCCGCCCTCTTCGCCTTCGTCTATGTGAGAATACCAAATAGCTATTAAACGCCACGATATTTCATCGTTGCTCATTTCAATGCATGTGAATAACAACTATGAATATGAATTCGCTTTTGACAGTGTAGAAATGTTGGAGGGAGAGAGGAAACACAAAGAATATCAGAGAATTTCTAGAAGCTTGTCATTCAGGTCAGTCAGTCAGCAATCAATAGATGTATAGACATATACCCAATCTATCAACCGGTAAGAAAAATGAAAAACAACAGAGAGGTCAGAGGTGAAGTAGAGGAACAGCCAATAGGAAAATCTCTTCCGTCTGTCAATGACACAACAATCGAAGGAAACAACCAATCAGAGACCACATCGTCAGAACAAGCTACTAAATCACTCACGGAGAGTTACTGACAACTCACTTCATACTGAAGTTAGTGTTGATGATGTCGCTGTCTCTTAAGACGATGAAAGCTTCATGATTAAACAATCCAGCTCCTCAAAGAACATAAAACAACCAAGACATTTTAATCTGGAAATAACTTTTCTTTCGATTTGTGTTGCTTCATCATTTTCGTTTTGTTAATTTTGGTTTTCAGCTTTTGAATGGTAACTTGGTAACGTAGCGCCCTCTATCCCAAGAAGATGAGAGAAAAGAACACTTAACCAGTGTTAATTAGATTTTAGGCGGCTTCTTTTTTGACCTATATGTTCATGTTAAATAAGGTTGCTAGGATTCTTCAACCTAGAGACTTTATCTTTTCAAGTTGTTTTACAGTTTTAATGTCCACGTTCAAAATCATGAACTTTGGAACCATCATTATCAAGAGTAACACAGGACTAGGCATTACTGTGTAACGGTACAAATTCCCCCACTTTATCGTATCATCACGTCAAGTAACAGGGCAAGAAATCAGAAGATGAATAAAGAAAGAAAAATGGGTCAAAAGGAGGCGAAAGTAGTAAAAGAGAGGTAGAAGGAATGAGATGGTGAAATCTTCCCCACCCATATCGGTTCTGAGGTATATCTTCACCCAGAGTCTCCAACCACTTTCGGTTTCTGTTGTCTCTCGCACCCCAACCGACTAGTTTGTATCACCCTACATGGCTCAAACCAACAGTCAATAACTTCATGCACTGATACCGTAACAAGGCAGACGGTGGTTGGGGATATTCTTGTCTCCTGACCGATAGCTGATACTTTGACGTGGTGGTCTGGCTTGAATATCTCGAGGACCCAACGAGCTATGCTGGTGAAACGCTTCTTCCCTCAGGCTCCTACCATACCAGAAAGGTTTGTTGGGTAGTGATTAAACAAAAAGTAGTTACCCTTTCTATTAACACGTTGTTAAACAATAAAATGATACATTATCATCAGTGGTGATCGAAAACCACAGAGCGTATGTCTGACCACAGCTTCTGTAATACAAGCCAATTTTCATGGCATCAAAAAGGCTATACATAATCGGTCTCTAGTAGATGTCATCTGAGTTCTATGATCACTCACTAATACTTCTTCTTCAGGTACCACGTGGTGGGCAACCGGTAAGTTTCAACCTCCCTCACAACTCTATCAACACTCAAGTTCCCTCGCTTCTCTCAGTTAACAATCCTACACCATCTCTAGTTCCTCCTAGCTCTGAAGCTTTCGACAACAATCTAAGTCTACACAACAGTATCACTGGTCTCCTTAAATTACACTTCACATTATATATCGAAGTCTTCAATATCCGCACCCTCCTAGTTGACAATCGCCTGTCTGGATGAACGGCACAATGAGAAATAAAGGGAAGAATAGTGAAAATCACCGTTGTCTCTTTATAATCTCTACTTACACATCCATTGACTACAGTTCGGATGAAGTGAAAATTGACTAGCCTCCTTCAGAAAACTAAACTTAACAATCTAGATAATTAAAACAAAACGAAGTCCATATACAAGTAGAGGGAGGGGAAAAAAAATCTAAGGTTATGTAGAATAATTTGAACTTTACTTCAGCAAATAACACTCTTGGTTGAGATGTTGGCGTAAACCATTTAAATCTTAATGATAAATGTCCACCATTTCCATGTATTCCACTGTAGCTGTCTACATTTTCTTGATGATTTGAATGAATTGTATACACTGGTGTTGGAAGACGTTTGAACTTTGACCATCTACCAATTACAAGACACCAATCTCCATTACAATCTTTTACTAACATTGCACGATCATTATCTGATTGAGATAAACACCAAATATGATTATCATCATTTTTATGATGAACATTTTTTTTCTGATGAAAATTTTTCAATGTATGTTTTAATTGTGAAGTGAAATTATGTAAATTATCATAAGAATTTTTATTTGAAGGTTGAATACTGGATTTCTTTGAGAAGAGTTGAGTAAATCCTTTGAAGTGTGCCCTTGTATCATTATAATAATTGGTAGGTTGAGAAGTTGATTTCTATGGAATAAAAAAAGCAAGATAAAAGAATTATACTTCATAATGAAAGGAAACGATCTAATAAACCAATATATATGATAATATGTAACGCATAAATCTATTAACTTCGGGTTCTACAGAAGTCCTTCATCATTATTTAATTGTCCTTTAGGTTCGTAGTGGAACATAGAGCTTCAGTAGCAAAGAACCATTTCATTCTGCTCTCTGTAGTCTGGCTACACCTACCTCCATAACTGCCCATAACCTTTCAATTCTTCCTCACACCATCTCATCCATGTCACCCTCACTTCACACACCCAACTCGTCATTTCCCATCTAGGTTCCACTCGAGTGCCTGGTCTGGTGCTTCATGTCCCCAATAGGCCTTCTCAGTGCATGCACAATCCAATCCATCTCCACTCTCTTCTTGTGCATATTTGTGGAGCGACAGCTTCTCGCTTCCTTGGTTCGTTGCCAGCCAGCCAGAGTTTCTTCTTCCTTATTCTTATTATCCTGGCCATCTAATCTCCATCTTCAGTATGGAATGAGTGTAGGCTGCAGCTGTTGATGATGTATGTCTGCAATTTGTTGAGAATGAATTTCGTTATGCGCCAAGTCTCTCAACCATCTCATAAAAGCACTCATTTGTATGACTGACATATGTTTCGAAAATGCGAATCTTGTTCACACGCTTTATGCTGACTGCAGTGCGGTAGACCTCCACACTGATTGATTTTAGATTAACGAAAGCCTGGTTTTGTTTGCTATCTTTCCGATCGTGGTTGGCTTTGACATGATGATGTGTGCCTGTGTGGCGTGTAGTTGAGACGATGCTGCCTAGGTGTGGGTAGGTAGGTGTGTAGGTGTGTAGGTGGGTAGGTAGTTGTGTAGGTAGGTAGGTAGTTGTGTAGGGAGGTACGTAGGTGTGTAGGTGTGTGGGTGGGTAGGTAGGTAGGTAGGTATTTAGGTGGTGTGTAGGTATGTATGTATGTATGTAGGTAGGTAGGTAGGTGTGTAGGTAGGTAGGTAGGTAGTTGCGTCGTTGTGTAGGTAGGTGTGTAGGTGTGTAGGTAGGCAGGTAGGTAGGTAGATGAAAGAGACAACTTCGTTCAGATTTCTCTTGTTCATGGTGACTGTTGCTTGTTGTTGTTTGGTTATCTTTATCACCTCTGTCTTCTCCACGTCCAACTGAATGAAGTCCTGCCTTCTCTTTTCTGTCAGCTTATTATTTTCCTGCCGTAGACCTTCGAGTTTGTGGGATATTGGACATAAATCGTCACCATCGAAATCCAAATCTCCTGGGATATTTTCGTCGATCCTCATTATTTGTATCATGATCCAGTCGAGTCGAGTCGATCACAAAGAGGAAAATGATCGGTGATAGTAGACAGCCTTGTGATAGTAGGTCGCAATCTTGTCTTACTCCTGTCTTCACTTCGCTTCAAAAGCATCACTGAGCTTTCCATTGTGAATCACTTGGCATGTAGCGTCGTCATACAGCATATAGCTGCTGTTGAATGAGGTTGATAAATGTTTGTTTATTACATGAGTCTAATGTGACAAATATTATCCTGACTGGCACTTCACATGGATAGAGACAGATTTGGATGTTGAACTCACTGGTCGATAGTTGACGGAGTAAAACAATAACTTTCAGCCAGCCATACCGACGGTCAGTCTTTGTTGACTCATTGGAGGCTGAGTTGCTTACAGAGTACTTTATATGGTTGACCGCGAACAGTGAATCAGAGATCAAGCTGGTACTGTAAATACCAAAAGGTGGTATCTCATTTGGTTGACGAGAAACATACAAAACATCTTTAAATTGCCAGTCAACGTATTCAGAAGTCTGTGAATATTTTCAAAATCTTCACTTAACAACTCAATATCATATGAGTACTCTAGGCTGAGTAAGTAGCCTCGTGTAAGAGAATGAACTTTGCCCTGTAAGATTAGATGAGTAGACGAAGACGTCAGCGAGAGGCAGACGTTGATAGATGTTTTCCAACATCAACAGGTAGGAATCGATTTTTAAATGAGCAAGACAGTGATTACAATAACTAAATCTATAGTTTAATGGGAGGATCAACTAAGTTTAAATACAGTGTGATATCTTTACACTATACAATGTCACGTTCTCATGAATAAGCTTTGGATATTCGATGGACTAGGAAGGAATAAATAGAGCTGATTGACAATGAGTTTAGAAAATGACAGTTAAGAGTGATGACGGTGGAAAATTCTTTTGCAATGGCAGCATTAAAATATCATATAATTGGACGCATTAATTAACACTCATATTGGTTTGGATAACCTCGCCTGGTTAACTAGTTCACTGGTTACTAGCCGGTCCTAAGCCCCGGTAAAGAGGGAAGGTTGGGCATAGGGCTAGCAACCCCCCGCATCATCATAGAACAGAGCATAGAATGGCAATCAGCTGTCTACCTCAACTTTAACGACTTTAAGAAGGCCTTTGACAGCGTCAACCGAGAGGTAATTTGGAAACTGCTTCACTACTACAGAGTACCGCAAACCTCTATCAGCCTCATTCAACAACTATATGAAGATGCCACATGCCAAGTGATTCACAATGGGAAGCTTAGTGATGCTTTTGAAATGAAGTGAAGACAGGAGTGAAACAAGGTTGCCTACTATCCCCCATGATATTCCTGATTGTGGTCGACTCGACTGGATCATGCAGTAAACAGTGGGGACCTGTGAGAAGAAGGGGATACGCTGGGCTGCGGAAAAGAACCTAGAAGATCTGGATTTCGCCAACGGTGACTTATGCCTGATGTCACACAAACCTGAAGATCTACAGGTGAAAACTAACAAGTTGACAGAAGAGGCAGCGAAGACGGGACTTCAAGTGAATATAGAGAAGACAGTGGTGATGAAGATACCGCACCACCAACAAACTCCAGTCACCATCAACGGGAGAAACTTAAAGGAAGTACCCTCCTTCACTTATCTAGGAAGCACTGTTTCAACTACAGGCGGGACAGATGAGGATGTCAAAGTCAGAATCGGAAAAGCAAGACAGGCGTTCATTAGCCTGAAACCAGTGTTGAGATCTTCTGCACTCAGCATGCGTGAACAACATCCGGATTTTCAACACCAACTCAGTCAAGTCAGTGCTTCTGTATGGTTCAGAGACTTGGCGATTTACCAAAGAGATTTCCAACAAACTACAGACATTGATCAACAACTGCTTACGCTCGCTACTGAAGATCAGATGAGATGGATTGCCAGAAAGAATAAGCAACAAGGAGCTCTGGGAACGAACCAACCAACAACCTATCACCCAACAAATATGCAGTGGGAGGAAGTGGAGATGGATTGGGCATACACTGAGAAGGCCGACTGGGGACATCACGCGTCAGGCCAGTCACTCGAGTGGAATCCCCATGGGAAGCGACGAGTTGGACGTCCGAGGAGAGGGTGACATGGAGGAGGTCGTGTGAGGAGGAAATGAGAGGTTGTGGGCTGTCGTGTAGCCAGGTTTAAAAGATTTCGGAGAACAGAGTTCACTGGAGACGTGCTACTGAAGCCCTATGTTCCACTAGGAACCCAAGGGACTAATAATAAATAATAATAATAATAATAATAATTGGTTTGGATCCCTAACTCCATGACTGATCCATTCAAAGATGAACCAGTTGAATCATATATGCACCATACTTGTTAATATTCTGTTGCAAAGCAAATTAACAGTATTATAGGTTACTGAATATAGATAATTAATTCCATTTGATCACTTCTATCCTGCATTGTTTAATCTTTATGAACTTTGACCAAGATTTCACTGTAGAGTATCGCAAATATTCGGTGTTGAGTAGAAAATTGACATTAAATATACTCTCTATTTGTTGTGTGCGTTATATTGTGTATTTGAAATGAATTGGTTTAAGCATCGTTTCACTCGGAAGTCTGCTACGAGCTCCAAGAATTATTCCCCTAAAGATGGTCGTGTAAAATATTCTAGCAAATTTATTATTCGGATCAGTTGAATAGCTGGAATCGATAGGATAAGACTTTTTAGGCATTTTCTATCTCATCTTTATAAAACTAGACTAGAATATGTTCCCATCTACGTGTTGACAGTAATCTCTGGCTCTATAGGAGAAAGTGAACTTGTGGATACACATAGAGTTGGGCCATTCAAGTGGACATAGCAACAGGAAATTACAATTATCCACACAACAATTGATAATATCCACTGTACAATAGATGTGTCTCTAGTGCTCTACTTGTGTTTGAAGTTAAATAAAAATCTAGTTAGCAGTCAGGCCTTGTAACTCAGTTGTTAGAGAACGGGGCCAGAAACCCGACGGTAAGTGGTTCGAACACCGCCGCGATCTAAATTTTCACTTCACTTTGAGTCATTACTCAGTATATTTTGATAATTATGTAGTTTCCCAGCCAATCAATTTCATTTAACAGCCAGTTTTGAGTACAGCCATTTGGCAAGCATCATGCAAACTATTCATTGTTACGAGTTCGCAGTCAACTAGTAACCAGTCTACTTTGAACAACTACTGTGACCAGTAAACGCGACGTAGCAATGTACAAGCGGTATGAACCTAACGCTCGAAAGAATCTACTGAAGTTGGTAATCAGAACGTCAACTACCACCACCACAACAACAACAATAGCAACAGTACCACTCACACGGAAAGATATGAACAGAAAATGCACCGTTCATAGAGAGCTGAAACTGTCTCAACTACAGTAGACAGTGATGCTGGATATATACATTCCAAATGAACTTAACAAATACTAAGTTCACTGATAGGTTAAATAGTTAACAACCAATCAGAGTTTAGCTTTCAGAAGTAGTGGGAAAAACAAAAGCTAGCAACGGGGTCACGAATACAGTAATGATAAAGTTACTTTAAAACTATTGGCGAATACAACATTCAAACATGCATAACAAAATATAAACGCTCAGAGAACATCTAACCATGGTTGAATGAATCCTTCAAAAGAGCAATACAAATTGTTACAATCTACTACTCACCTTGGAGTTAATTATTGGTAACTGTTCATATCCAATTGACTGGCCTAAACACAACAAACGTTGACCAGAGTAGATATGCACTACAGATAGTCCAAGGGAAATATTATGTTGTACACGAGCTGTAAGAACATGTTCATTCAAATGATTAAATAGTCTTTAAATAGAGATAAAGACAAGGAGAAGGAAAAAGAATAGTCAGCTGAGAAAGACAAATAGGCAAGCTGCCAAATTACCCTGAAATCAACCTAATGTTTCAAAATATGATGGATTAAGTTGAAGAGAACACAGTAAAAATACCCCAGTGACAACTTGAGTCGATGATTCAGTTGCCAATAGACGTGAAAACATGTCTCAAATTCAGCGTACTTAATCAAGGAGTGTTACAGTTTTCAACTTTTCGCTAGACAAAGTCTCCATTTCATAATGTATATCAAGTTGAATTAGAAAGAGTGATTATCTACTGAATAAAATAGGTCCGATTAATGAAAACAATATAAGATGTACACAAAGATAGTTGAAATTTGAGTAAGATTTGTAAATTGTAAACGGATTACCAAAAGCACTTTGGCAGTTGCTTCAACATTACCGAGTGCCACAAACCTTTATCAACCTCATTCAACAACTATATGAAGACGCCACATGCTAAGTGATCCACAATGAATGTGGGTCCCTGCTCCTGGAAATCAATCCAATCGGTGAAGAAGCTTCAAAGTATAGAGAAAATACAAAAAACAAACTTATCCTTCTCTGGAATCAAGGGATACGAAGTGACGCCAGTTGGCGAAAGCCATCGGAAAGTCAGTTGGCTGATGTGTCTTCTCTCGATGAAAGTGAGAGTAAACATAGGGACATGGAATATCCGCACAATATCTGAAGCTGGCTGACTGGCAAGGCTTTTCATATTGCAAAAGAGGTGAGCAGGTATAGAATGGAAGTGCTAGGAACTGTGAGAGCAGATGGAATGGAGGTGAACTCCCCAAACTGTCAACTGGAGAAGAGTTAATAATCCACTCCGATATTGTCATCCAGACGACAACCACCAGCACACCGAGTTCTCGAGTGGCTATCATGATTTCTCCAACAACATCGAAGGCTGACTCCCATGCAGTGGGAATCAATCTCCTCCAGCAGGATCACGATCATGACAGTACGGTTCAAATCCAAAGGGAGGAGATTTACAATCATACAATGCTATGTTATGCTATGCTACTCTACGCACCTACAAATAATGCAGATGAAGAGAAGAATGAGGAATTCTGAAGAAGACTGCAGTGAGTAATGTACAAGACCGCAGCTCAGATGGTGACATGAAACTTCATTCAAATGGTTGGGGTGACAGGAATGCCAAACTGGGAGAGGGAACAACACAGGAGTAGAAATAATGATGGGTTGAGAGGCACTGTGTGAAGCGAATGAGAAAAGAGACCTGTCTGCACACTTCTGAGTATTTATTGACTTGGTGGTTGGTATATTAATATACAAACTGACTACATCGAAACTGATGACTTTTTTCATTGTCGTCTAATCTATGCTTATATTTTATTGTTGTAGCCTCTTTCACCCACCTTCCTGAACAGCATCGTTTCAACTAAAGGCTGCACATACAGAGATGAGGATGTGAAAACAGGAGTCGGGTTGAGAGCAAGACAGGCACTCATTAACCTGAAACCAGTGTGGAGATCTTCTGCATTGCACTCAGCATAAAGCGTGGACAACATCCGGATTTTCAACACCAATTCAGTCAAGTAAGTCACTGCTTCCATGTGATGGTTGAGAGACTTGGCGCGTTACGAAAAGCATTTCTAACAAACTACAGATATTCATCAACAACTGCCTATGCTAGCTCGTTACTAAAGCTCAGCTCAGATGGTTAGAAAGAAAAGGGAAGAAGGAACTCTGGCTCGCTAACGAAGAACCAACGAAGAAGCTATCGCTCAACAAATATACATAAGAAGAGAGTGGAGATGGATTGGATTGTGCATGCACTGAGAAGGCCTATTGGGGACATGAAGCACCAGACCAGGCACTCGAGTGGAACCTAGATGGGAAACGACGAGTTGGGTGTGTGAAGTGAGGGTGACATGGAAGAGATGGTGTGAGGAAGAAATGAGAGGTTGTGGGCAGTCATGAAGTCAGGCTGAAAAGACTGGATTGAAGAGAGTGAAATGGTTCTGTGCTACTGAAGCTCTATGTTCCATTGGGAACCCAAATGACAAATAATAGTAATAATAATAATTCACACGGTTTGAAAGAAGAGCATGTATAAGGAATTTTATAGGCGGAGAATTGTTAGAAACAAGCTACCAACATACACGGAAATATCAACGCTAGTTGTCAATTAGTCAAGAAGATATTCATGGAAATGAAAATTTCTTCATCAAACACTACACAAGATTAACTAGGAAAGCGTGACAAAAAAATTACTTTGGCTGCTAACATCCGAGTCCTTAAATTCAGTGAAAGGTACAGAAGACGTCTAGAAAAGTAAAGATCAGATCTAGTCTGAAAACCCAGTCTAATAAGATGACTTTAACCGAACTTCAAATTGTTTAAGGATAGTTGAATCAACATGTCTACGAAATGGATAATTACAAAACGTGAGTCTTTCAACTTAGTATTCATTATGGACTGAATGACATCAGTTGAAGAAATATTGGGAACTTAAGAGCACTGGGCATCTGTTTCGCTCTAAGGTGAGACTCTTCAGCAGTGAACAACCATGACATCACCAGGGATTGGACTCTCAACCTTCAGGTTGCATTACCAGCAGTTTACCATTCAGTTACTGGGTTGGCGGAATTTCAGGCTTCATATTTCCAAGTTACTTCAATTGATATCAGTCAGTTCATAATGAAGACCAACTTGAAAAGTCTATAAATCCCCACAAACCACTTAAATTCACACCTACATTAGAGAACAACAACACTTTAACTGAAGCCATATTTTACCTGATAAAGTATCTAGTAATTATCAGCAGTTTACATCAAGTAGTGAATCGTTGAATTATCTAACTAGAAGCTGATCGGAAGTCAGCCTACAGACCTCAAGCCAATCAGCCTCACCATACAAACAGATCAACCTATAACATAGTAACTGAGGGTTTTACGTACTCCGGAGTGAACCCATTGATTTTTCAATTCAAAGAGGAAAGTGGGCAAACAAACAAAGAGAACAACAACAAGATCATTTTTATCAAGAAGTCGGGAGATTAAAAAAACTGTGACATTAATCCTGATTAAACTACATTTTTCCATCTGATACGTCTTAGTACATCAACCTTACTGGTTTCCAGAAGAAATTCAATCCACCCTACTTCATCAAAACATGTTGACCAAATTCACCGTCAAACAAACAGTCACTCTATGAAACCAAGTAACCCATCGTTTCACCAGATCAATGAAGCTTTCTGGCAATTCTCTTCACTCTCTTATGCAAATCAAAACATCCAATAGCAAAGGAAGACAAATCAAACATTATCTACAAGGTGAACTGCAGACACTTCAAGGAACACTACTTACAAGAAAGACTGGTCAATCGGCCTCCTCACATCCGTCTACATCAACATCAAGTAGTGGTGAAGTGTCACTACAAATCTCCACTCATACACACTACTGTGAACAAACATTCGATGAGTGGAATGTAGAAATCCATGATGGAGGAAATTCAGGTTAGTCAACAAACATATTTACATTGACCCAATTTATCAAGCAATAAGAAACATGAAGAAGGCCAAATTCCAGCTGACGAGAACGACCAATCAAAATGAATGTGGAGAGGAGAATGATGAGACTTTGTGAGAAACAAGCAATCACAAACACGGTCATGAAGACAAGGTACTAAATAAACTGTGGTCAGAATGATATAACTCACTTTTTTGTGTATTTCGTGGTGCTGCTGTTGATGCTGTCTAGCATGGCAATATTACAGCCTTACAATGAAGCCATCTAGCTCAGAGAATCCAATACGATGAAGATTCTCGTCCTGACCTACAAACATTCTTCATCATGTCAAAATACTTTATTCCCACTTCACTCTGTTCTAACTAAAAATGTCACTCAGTGAAACAGGATCATTTACTCAATTCAATAACGTCTCCGATATATTTTATTATGCTTATCCATATCGAACTGGTTAGTTCATGTGTAACAAATTGCGAGAATAAAGAGAGATATTGAAGGTGAATGGTAAAGGGGATAGGGAGACAATGGATCAGCCAATCAATGTTATTATGCTCAACGATCATCGTCCAACTATTCATTTCACCTTCAATCATCACCCACTATCAATGTATCAATTGAATATTGTTCCTTGTATTATCCAGTTGTTGAGTGGAGAGAATCGATCAGTCTCTGTTGGGATATGGACTACTATGCAGATACCTAGATATTCCCAGTGTTTGAATTCTATATAGTAATGATGGATAGTGGTTAGCAGTTGAATGCAGGACAAGGTGTTTCTTTTCATTTGAGACTCGTCAGGTGGATGAACCTAACTCTCAGTGAGCGATGTTTTTCCCACTACGACTTCAACCAAGGATGGATCCCTTTGAAAGCCATAACGTCATTCACTGGACCCCCGAACAACATCCCTCACTGAAAGGCAGGCATATCCAGCTAATGAGTCCACAGTCGGACGAGATGTTTGTCCTTGGTTCCAAGCGAAATAGCAAAGCGTCATTTCGAAGCACGTTAGTGGCCATATATCGGTTCCAAATCATAACAATTAGCCTGCCAACAGTTGAAATAACTAATTAGACTTGAAAATTCCTTTCGTGATAACGTGTATCCACAGAAATTCCTCAGTAAGAAGGACTAGAAACTGGAGAGTGTGATACACTCGAGAAGAAGCTCACTTTTTCTTTTGGGTTCGAATTATCCAGTTGTTAGGTTAACCACAATCTAACAAAGGAGTTGCTCATTGTGACGATCAAACGTTGACAAGTCCCCTCTTCATGTTACCTCCGACTGGGGATAAGTTTTCAGCATCCCTAGATTCTGTCACCTAATTCATAGTGAACACGAGGTCATTGTTCAGTAACCATTCAAAATTATTACTAAAGAGATGAACTGTATCTTATTGCATATCACTAAACTGTTAGGCATTCAACGAACCTATATATCCAGAAATTTGGCAGTTGCTTCAACACTACCTAGTGCCACAAATCTATATCAACCTCATTCAACAGCTATATGAAGACGCCACATGCTAAGTGATCCACAATGGAAAGCTCAGTGACCCCTTAGAAGTGAATTAAAGACAGGAGTAAGACAAGGCTACCCCTACTATCACCCATAATCTTCATGATTGTGATGGACTGGATCATGCAGCGAACCATGAGGAGCGAGAAGATGGGTATACGCCGGCTGGACCAATGAAAAGAGGCTAGCAGATTTGGATTTCGCCGATGATGATGATGATGATTTATGTCTAATGTCTCACCGTACAAACTGGATTATGTACAGGCGGAAACTAACAAGCTGACAGAAGAGGCGGGGTAGCGAAGACGGGACTTCAAGTGAAAGTGTAGAAGAAGGAGGTGATGAAGGTACGCAACCAACAACAGCACCAACAACGAGCTTCAATCAATATCAACGAGGGAAATCTAAAGGAAGTAGTCTCTTTCACCTACCTACATACCCACATAGGCAGCATCGTTTCAACTACAAGCGGCACAGGCACAGACGAAGATGTCAAAGCCGGGATCGAAAGACATCAAGATAGGCTTTCAATAATTTGAAATCACTGGGAAAATCTACTACACTTAGCACAAAGGGTAAACAACATCCGGATTTTCAACACCAGTCCAGTCAAGTCAGTGGTGCTATGCGATGGTTGAGAGAGCTGATGTGTCACGAAAAGCATTTCCAACAAACTACAGACATTCCTCAACAGCTGCCACCTGCACTGGCTTGATACTGAAGAAGAGATGAGATGAAGAGAAAGAATAAGCAACAAGGAACTCTTGGTTTCAACGAACTAACCAGGGAGCTATCACCCAACAAATACGCAGAAGGAAGTGGAGATGGATTAGGCATACAGTGAGAAGGCCTATTGGGGACATCACGCGTCAGGTCAAGCCTTCGGGTGGAATCCAACTGAGGGGGAAACGACGAGTTGGGCGTGTGAGGCGAGGCTAACATGTAGCAGGTTATGTGAAGAAGAAATGAGAGCTTGTGGGGAGTCGTGGAGTGAGGTTCAAAAGACTGCAGAGAACAGAGTATAATGGAGGCGAGCTTTTGAAGCCATTTGTTCCAATAGGAACTCAAGGGAAAAAAAGTGTTCAGAAAGAAATGATTATCAGTCTCTACTTATCCTAGCAATTCAACTTCTTCATATGATAAAAATTTGTTTTTCTAGTTGAAAAAGAAAAAAATTAACTGACTATTTTAGTCTGAAGGCCATCAGAATAACTGTCGAAATCAACAATCTTGTTTCGATATCTTGGCTGCAGTTATATCTACTCATAAAATAAGCAAATGTGATTGGTTGCTTATGTTGACCTTGAAAGTCGTTTCAAAAAGGTATATATATGTATAGACAGATAGAAAAAGATGTTTGAATGTTGTCAAAAGGAAACTTACTTGTGTATAAGTAGTAATGAACGTTTTTCGCAATTAATTGATTGAAAACTATTCAATAATTTTTCACCTTGATCTTTATAACATGATTGATAATGTTGTTTTAAAATATTTTCAAATTTTAAACTAGGACATGATGATATAGGACCCCAAATATGAAAACCAATACTTGATTGATTATCATTAGGCAATGGAAGTTGACAGACTATTTGAGGACCAAGTTGAACTTTTAATCTAATTGAATGTTTAACCGGTGGATTAATCAGTAATGTAAGTGATATACGTGGATTGATAGAGTTTTTGTATGGAATATCTGACGATGAAGAAGACGAATTCAATGGAAAACAAACAAACAAACAAACAACCGAATTATGTCGACATTAATATAAATTTCAAGACAAATGAATGAAGCAATTTTTTCTTATTACATGACGTTTATCTGATAGTTTGCTTATAACCTTATTATTGCGGTTTTCTTACCCTTACAAGCTTTTACTCTCCCCTTTGCTCTCAAGGATGAATTCTTATTGGTTGTTAACTTTTTTCATGTTGTCAAGGTCATATAGAAATGTATATATTCAGCATCACACTCAACTGTATTGACTATTGATGAGATAGTGAAAGCCTAAGGAATTCACCTTTCATTTTAATGATGATTTCGTCAGGGTACAACTGAGAAGCTACAAAGAATCTTAAGACAACACTGAATAACAGACTTTCACAAGACAGTTAACACTCTTAGGAATGCTTCATTCCTACTTCATACAGAATTGTGTTGATTGTGTTGTGAAGCTGATTATACTGGGGAATCATCCCATGAAATCCTCATTCGTGTTGAGGAGTAGTGAACCTACACAAAATCACCGGCAAAAAATTCTGTTTATTTATATTTTATTTGTTTCTTAAGTTCATAGTGAAACATAGGGCTTAAATGGTACAAAGCTATTACATTCCTTCTCTGCAGTCTGGTTCCACCTTGCTCCACGATCCCCCATTAGCCTTCATTTCTTCCACACACAATCTCCAAAATGTCACAGTCGGACGATCAGTTTGTAGGTTCCAATACAGCTTACACTCAAGGGCTTGACCTGGCATATGATTTCACCAAAAAGTCTTCTTAGTGTATCTTCAATCCAATCCATCTCCACACTCTTCTGCTGCATATTTGTTGGACGGAAGCTTCTTGGTTGCTTGGATGGTTATTATTCTGGCCATCTGATCTCCATCTTCAGTATGGAGTGAGCGTAGATGGCAGATTTTGACGATGTATCTCTGCAATTTGTTAGGAATGCATTTCGTTATGCGTCAAGTCTGTCAACCATCACGTAGAAGCACTGATTTGTATGACTGACATAAGTGTTGGAAATGTGAATCTTGTTCACACGCTTTATGCTGATTGCAGAGCAGTGTAGTGCAGTAGATCTACACATTGATTGATTTTAGATTACCGAAGGCCTGGTTTTGCTTGCTGTCTTTCCGATCGTGGTTGGCTTCGACATGATGATGTGTGCCTGTGCGGCGTGTAGTTGAGACGATGCTGCCTAGGTGTGGGTAGGTAGGTAGATAGGTGTGTAGGTGTGTAGGTATGTAGGTAGGTGAGTAGGTATTGAGGTAGGCAGGTTTGTAGGTAGATATTAAGGTAGGTTTGTACGTAGGTGTGTAGGTGTATGGGTGTGTGGGTAGGTGAGTAGGTATTGAGGTAGGTAGGTGTGTAGGTGGGTGTGTAGGTATGTATGTAGGTAGGTAGGTGAAAGAGGCAACTTCGTTCAGATTTCTCCTGTTCATGATTGGTGCTTGTTGTTGTCGTCACTTGGGTATCTTCATCAAATCTGTCTTCTCTTCGTTCAACTGAAGGAAGTTCCATGTTCCTTCGCTACCCTGCCTCACATCACTTCCTCTGCCAACGTGTTACTTTTCCCCTGTACATATTCCAGTTTGTGCGACATAACACATTAGGCATAAATCATCAACAGCGAAATCCAAATCTTCTCCTGGTGTCTTTTCATCGGTCAAACAGCGAGCATATGCTCATCTTTTCGCCTCTCTCAGTTTGTTGCATGATTCAGTCCAGTCCAGTCAAGTCCAGTCCAGTCCAGTCCAGTCCAGTCAAGTCAAGTCAAGTCGACCACAATGAGGAAGATGATCGGTGATAGTGGGCAACTTTGTCTTGTCTTACACCTGTCTTCACTTCACTTCGAAGGTGTCGCTCAGCTTTCCATTGTGAATCACTTGGCATGTAGCCTCCTCATTAAGCACATAGCTGCTGTTGAATGAGGTAGATGAAGATCTGTGCCACTAAAACCGTATTGTTGAAGCGGGTGCCAAAATAATTCTTGGTCGATTCTATCGGAGGCGTTTTCAAAGTGGATGAATTTGAGGTGAAGTGATGACCGCTATTCTTTGCTCTGTATTAAAATAAATCTGTAGAACAAAAGAAATCAAGATGACAGTAGCTGTTCACACCATAAAATCGGTACTGAAAATACTGAAACTTATTCAAGAAGGTCTTTCAAAGTACGAAGAAAGATGGATAGTTGAGTGATTTCACTTCGTATTGAATTGTAATGCACTCAGTCAACAGAGACGAAGTCCTGACTAATCAGCTAAGTTGAACAGCATATCAAAACATCAGGTCACATCCAATGGTCAGAAAGAGAGTGGATACACACAAAGAATCCGAATTCGTCATTCACAGTAACTATTTCCTCCAAAACGAATATACCCAAATGTCACACGTTCACACATTCACATCTCCACCTTCACCTGCAGGCTAACAACACATAACAAAGACACATTACAACATAACCTAACGTATATAAAAAGACGTTTATTCTATCTAGAGGTTTGTAGGGATTTATTAATTGATTTTTGGTTAGGATACATCAATGAAATCGGATCTGTTATAATTGAACAGTGACTTGTAAATATTGAAAATTGAAAGTTCTGTGTTTTCCCATCGACTGTAGGTTCGACAGGACTTGTGAAGTGACCGAGTGGTAGTGACAGACTGGATATTATGAAATACGAGAACGCCAGCAAATCAGTGAGACATTTGGAGTGGATAAAAATAGTGACTGTTCTCTCTCATGTCTCATACTACAGTGAGTAACGAAATCAGAAGACAAAGACCGGCCTATGACTCACTGTAAGGAAGAGAACTTTATTCGACAAAAAAGACATACATCATTTTCCTCAGAATATAAAGCTACTAGGTCACAAGTTGGACATTTATTCTGATTGGTCAGTTGAAGGACAAAGTTGTCCAGTAAGATTTTCTCTTCCTACACATAAATATGAAACAAGGTTGATATTCAAATCTTTAACGTTATTGGCTGATAACTCAGAATGTTGATTTTGATTTAGGTCGTAGCATATCTACATGCATGAAAAATTTTGTAAATCCCTTCAACCTTCCAATGATTTTTGAAGTATATTCTAACATTTGAGTTACATAAGTGAGCAAGTCCATCTCAGATTATGATTTTAATACACCAGTGAGTTAGTGCATTTTAAACAGCATGATGTGACTTTTTTTAAGTTTGAAAAAGGTGAAAATTACGGTGAATAGGATAGATGATTAAAAAAAACCAATCGATCAAATTGGTTTCATTTACTCTCTATCTAGAGTAATGAGAATGAAGCAGAAGGCGACTATTCTTCTTGGTTGACTTGAAATTTTTTCTCTGAACAACTTTTAATTTTCTATTTCATCTGTGGGTGAAGAAATAACCGCTTTGAAAAGTAAGAAAACTTAGTTTTCACGCGTTTGAAGTGACTGGTGCCTGGTTGAAGTCGTGTTGAGCATCGCATCATTCAGTGAGAAGCAGGTAAATGCAGCTGACGAGACTCAATCACATAGGACAAAACACACGTCTTGAACTCCATTGTTAAACAATATCCATTGATAATTTGAGGAAACTTTACTTTTCTAACAATGAAGACAATAAATCAAGCTCATATGGTGTTCTTCATGTAGTCTAGTAGTACCGTAAATTCAGCTAGATGTGGTCGTCATTTTTAAAACACAACCTCGCGCCTTTTTTTAAATATCTGTATTCAATTACATGAAACGACCTATTCTATATTCCTTGTTAATTTAAATTTACTTCTAAGTGAGTCTAACTGCCTTAATTGAATACCCATCAACTCGATTTCTTAATCAGACTTCAGAAATACCATCCATCGCCCTTCCTCAAAACTTACAAACTGTCCACATATTTAGCGATGAGAATAGGTTCGCTTAAAAACTGCTCAAGATCTAGACTGACTTAAAGGCAGGCAGGCAAAATCAAGGTAGAGCTTCGTGCAGGATTGAATTGGCTCAAGTTACCACAATTCGCAGTAGTGTAAGTGAAAAAAGAATCTGAAGATAAGGTTAGTGCAAATATCCGAGCTTTAGAAGATGTCAAAGAGTGAATACATCCTCCTCATTGTGATCGATTCTCAGCCATGTCACGAAAAGTCCTCAACCAATGATTTTTTTCATCTCGGGGACCCCAACCAGACACAGTACATCTTCCCACATGGATCAGGCCAATAATCAAGGATTTCATCGACTGGTGACAGGTATCGGTTTCACCAGTCTAAAACCTCTTTTATTCTAATCCAAAATCTCCTATCATGGCACGTCGACGAAGGCAGTAGCTTGGCATAGGCGGTAAATGTCCCTATTGACTAACATTCAAAACCTTGTTAACCGGTTCATCTGTCTTGCCTAGTACGTTTTGCCTAATTCCAAAATTGGTCACGCGATAATTCCACCGAACGCAATCAATGATATGAAGACACTTACGATCAAGACCATTCAACCGCTTCCTATCGTCCACTTTTAACAGCAATGTCTCACAGGCGTACAACAGAACAGAACAGACTGCAGTGAAGTACATTTGTCCTTTGATAGATAGCCGGATATCTCATTGAGAGTACAGGTGAAGCAACCAGCCTGTTCAACGGGCTGATGCGACTTCCCAAGTAATTAAAGTGGTCGACACATTCCACCACTTTACTCCATTTCATTAAACAGAGATTACTTGCAGTAGACGAGCCCTAGGGCCTCATATTACATTTGACAGATGTCACCTGAACGCATGATAAGATATTATATTACTATTATTATTTTTCCCCTGGGTCACTAGTGGGATATAGGGATTCAGTAACACCGACATTCCACTCTCTTCTCTACAGTCTTTCAAACCTGAATCCACCATTGCCCACAACCTCTCATTTCTTCCTCACATCATCTCCTCCATCTCACCATCACCTCACACGCCCAACTCACCCATTCCCATCTGGGTTCCACTCGACAACTTCGCCTGACATGTGATGTCACCAATCGGCCACCCCAGTGCATGACCAATCCATATCCACTCCCTTCTTCTGAATATTTGTTGAGTGATACCTCCTGCATTGGTTGGTTCATTGCCAGCCAGCCAGCCAGCCAGCCAGCCAGCCAGCCAGCCAGCCAGCCAGCCAGCCAGCCAGCCAGCCAGCCAGCCAGCCAGCCAGCCAGCCAGCCGCCAGCCAGCCAGCCAGCCAGCCAGCCAGCCAGCCAGCCAGCCAGCCAGCCAGCCAGCCAGCCAGCCAGCCAGCCAGCCAGCCAGCCAGCCAGCCAGCCAGCCAGCCAGCCAGCCAGCCAGCCAGCCAGCCAGCCAGCCAGCCAGCCAGCCAGCCAGCCAGCCAGCCACACTTCCTTCTTCCTTATTCTTTCTCACCATCTCATCTGATCTTCACTATCAAGACAGTGTAGGTAGCAGCTCTTCATCATGTATGTGTGTGTGCAGTTTGTTGCAAGTGGTTTTCGTGATACGCCAACTTCTTCAACCATCATCACATGGGAGCAAGCACTGAGTTACTTGACTAGACTGGTGTTGAAAATCCGTATCCTGTTCACGCTATATGCTGAGTGGAGTGGAGTGGAGTAGATGTGCACACTAACTGATTTGAGATTAATGCAGGAAGGCGTGTCTTGTTGTCTTTCCGATGCTGGCTGGCTTGTTTTGACATCCTCGTGTGTGCCTGTGTCGTCCGCCACGGGTACCTGAAACGATGCTGCTTAGGTGGGTGGGTGGGTGGGTGGGTTGGTAGGTAGGTGTGTAGCTAGGTAGGTAGGTAGGTGTGTGGGTAGGTAGGTAGGTAGGTAGGCAGGTAGGTGTGTAGGTAGGTGTGTAGGTAGGTAGGTAGGTGTGTAGGTAGGTAGGTGTGTAGGTGTGTAGGTGTGTAGGTGTGTAGGTGTGTAGGTAGGTAGGTAGGTAGGTAGGTAGGTAGGTAGGTAGGTAGGTGTGTGTGTAGGTAGGTAGGTAGGTAGGTGGGTAGGTAGGTAGGTGAAAGAGACTACTTCGTTTAAGTTTCTCCCGTTGATGGTGATTGGTGCTTGTTGTTGGCGTTGGTTGGGTATCTTCATCACCTCCGTATTCTCTACTTCCACTTGAAGTCCCGTTTCGCTGCCTCGCCTCTTCTGTCAACTTGCTAGTTTTCGCCTGTAGATCTTCGAGTTTGTGTGACGAGGCATTAGACATAAATCATCATCATCATCATCATCATCATCATCATCATCATCATCATCATCATCATCATCATCATCATCATATCATCATCATCATCATCATCATCATCATCGGCGAAATCCAACTGGTGTAGTGTCTTTTCATCTACCAAACAGCGTATGCTCATCTTCTCACAGCTCCTCACAGTTTGTTGTATGATCTATTCCAGTCCACGACAATCAGGAAGATTATGAATGAAAGTAGGCGGCCTTGTCTCACGCCTGTGTTCACTTCAAAGGCATTACTGAGCTTTGCATTGTGGATCATATGTCATATGGCTTCGTCATATAGCTGTTGAGTGACGTTGATACAGATTTTTGGCACTCTGTATTGTTGAAGCAGCTGACTGCCAATTTACTTCTCTGTCGACGCTGTCAAAAACATATGATAAACATACACAAATTTCTACTCAATGCGTACATTCACAAGATCCTGGATTTCGTCAGGACAATATCGTCTACACATTCCTGTGAAGTCAGTTGTACATAGGGTTATATTCACTGACTGACGAACTCTTACACATATCAACATAATGTTAGATAACATCCAACTGGAAGATGATAAAAGTATGATTATCGAGAAAGGCGAGTTAGGAATAACCTCAATTATGAATAGGAACTCCTGCAGATAGTTAAAGTACCAAGTGAAGGAAGGCCCGGCATTTTTACACTTAGAAAGTTTCAAGAAATCCACTGAGATACAAACAAAAGGAAGAAGTTTGTGTGAGATCACCGGTATCGTGAATAACCGTCACTCATCAGAAAGGCGTATCTGTAACCTCCAGAGAAATGATGTCCTATATGAGAATCGAAAGTATGTCACCTAATATTGTGATCATTGACGTTACTACTAAGCTATTCAATCTGTTGATTCGAATCTTAGAGGTGATGTCAATTCTTTTGAGATTGTAGATATGAAGTTTCCCACCGATTGCCTTCAGTCAACTAACATTTTGATATATATATACTAAAAAAACAATACGCTCTGATAGAATATGCCTTACTGTTAGTGTTTAAATTGATAAATACTGGATAGCAGTTTCAATGGGAACAACACCTATTCACTAGGAGGCTGATGATAGTTACTACTCAGTGTTAATGATATATCCTTGTGATAGATATACATATATAGCTATATATCTGAACAATAATCTTAAGATTTACACTTCAAGGTTGCTCAACTGTTTATAAACAGAAAAAGAAGGGAATTTTCAGCCTGTTATAATTGGCTGTGAAGGTTTAACAAGGTATTCTAGCCTTCTTTGACGAATATTGTTACAATATTCCAGACGAGAAAATTTTGAAAACCAACCCAACAAAACAACCCCCTCAAAAATTTAATTGAACTGGTGCTCATTGGTGACTAGTTTCGAGAAGTATTCCCGAAGTTCCAATGACAAGTCGTGACCGGTGAAGTCAAAGCCTGATGGCCGTGAGGACAAATACTCAACGATGACATTGGGTGGCGGTTTGCGCTATATCGTGAGCTAACAGAAGTTGGAAATATGGAGCACTGGATTCTGACCCAGTGGCTCAATGGTAACGCGCTGGTCGCGGAACTTGAAGGTCGCGGGTTCGATCCTTGCTGGTGGGGTCGTGGGTGCGCACCGCTGAGGAGTCCCATACTAGTTAGACGAAACAGCTGTCCAGTGCTCCCAGGTTTCCTTTGTTCCTCCAACTGATGTTAGTCTTCGATGAATAACAACTTGAAATATTTCCAAATCTCCACAACCCCCTCGAAAATTTAAAAGTAGTATAGCCGAAAAAAAGAAAATAATAATAATTGATAACTCAAAGAAATAACTTGCAGTCATTTATTTATGAGGAGAACAACTCACTTTTGCTTGGAATATTATGTAATCTCTTTGTAGACTGAATAGTTACTGGGGTGATATTTTCCTAAAAAAATTGTAAATTAGTTGTGTTTTGTTGAAATTAACTTTTTGAATAACTTTCTAAGAATAATAAAACACATTTTAAAGATTAAAAATTAACCAGTAGACAAGATCTGAATAGATCACATAGCTTGAAATACCACTCTCATTTCAACTGGTATGATAACCAATCACATTTTGTTATTTGCAGCTGGAATGATGAGATTTGATTGGTTATTATTAGATCGATTGTGTTCTGGATTGACACATTTCATCGTATTGGATTCTCTGAGCTAGATGGCTTCATTGTAAGGCTGTAATATTGTCATTCTAGACAGTATCAACAGCAACAACGCGAAATACACAAAAAGTGAGTTATATCATTCTGACCACAATTTATTTAGTACCTTGTTTCATGACCCTGGATTCGTAGTGGGAAAAACATCGCTCACTGAGAGTTAGGTTCATCCACCTGACGAGTCTCAAATGAAAAGAAACACCTTGTCCTGCATTCAACTGCTAACCACTATCCATCATTACTATATAGAATTCAAACACTGGGAATATCTAGGTATCTGCATAGTAGTCCATATCCCAACAGAGACTGATCGATTCTCTCCACTCAACAACTGGATAATACAAGGAACAATATTCAATTGATACATTGATAGTGGGTGATGATTGAAGGTGAAATGAATAGTTGGACGATGATCGTTGAGCATAATAACATTGATTGGCTGATCCATTGTCTCCCTATCCCCTTTACCATTCACCTTCAATATCTCTCTTTATTCTCGCAATTTGTTACACATGAACTAACCAGTTCGATATGGATAAGCATAATAAAATATATCGGAGACGTTATTGAATTGAGTAAATGATCCTGTTTCACTGAGTGACATTTTTAGTTAGAACAGAGTGAAGTGGGAATAAAGTATTTTGACATGATGAAGAATGTTTGTAGGTCAGGACGAGAATCTTCATCGTATTGGATTCTCTGAGCTAGATGGCTTCATTGTAAGGCTGTAATATTGCCATGCTAGACAGCATCAACAGCAGCACCACGAAATACACAAAAAAGTGAGTTATATCATTCTGACCACAGTTTATTTAGTACCTTGTCTTCATGACCGTGTTTGTGATTGCTTGTTTCTCACAAAGTCTCATCATTCTCCTCTCCACATTCATTTTGATTGGTCGTTCTCGTCAGCTGGAATTTGGCCTTCTTCATGTTTCTTATTGCTTGATAAATTGGGTCAATGTAAATATGTTTGTTGACTAACCTGAATTTCCTCCATCATGGATTTCTACATTCCACTCATCGAATGTTTGTTCACAGTAGTGTGTATGAGTGGAGATTTGTAGTGACACTTCACCACTACTTGATGTTGATGTAGACGGATGTGAGGAGGCCGATTGACCAGTCTTTCTTGTAAGTAGTGTTCCTTGAAGTGTCTGCAGTTCACCTTGTAGATAATGTTTGATTTGTCTTCCTTTGCTATTGGATGTTTTGATTTGCATAAGAGAGTGAAGAGAATTGCCAGAAAGCTTCATTGATCTGGTGAAACGATGGGTTACTTGGTTTCATAGAGTGACTGTTTGTTTGACGGTGAATTTGGTCAACATGTTTTGATGAAGTAGGGTGGATTGAATTTCTTCTGGAAACCAGTAAGGTTGATGTACTAAGACGTATCAGATGGAAAAATGTAGTTTAATCAGGATTAATGTCACAGTTTTTTTAATCTCCCGACTTCTTGATAAAAATGATCTTGTTGTTGTTCTCTTTGTTTGTTTGCCCACTTTCCTCTTTGAATTGAAAAATCAATGGGTTCACTCCGGAGTACGTAAAACCCTCAGTTACTATGTTATAGGTTGATCTGTTTGTATGGTGAGGCTGATTGGCTTGAGGTCTGTAGGCTGACTTCCGATCAGCTTCTAGTTAGATAATTCAACGATTCACTACTTGATGTAAACTGCTGATAATTACTAGATACTTTATCAGGTAAAATATGGCTTCAGTTAAAGTGTTGTTGTTCTCTAATGTAGGTGTGAATTTAAGTGGTTTGTGGGGATTTATAGACTTTTCAAGTTGGTCTTCATTATGAACTGACTGATATCAATTGAAGTAACTTGGAAATATGAAGCCTGAAATTCCGCCAACCCAGTAACTGAATGGTAAACTGCTGGTAATGCAACCTGAAGGTTGAGAGTCCAATCCCTGGTGATGTCATGGTTGTTCACTGCTGAAGAGTCTCACCTTAGAGCGAAACAGATGCCCAGTGCTCTTAAGTTCCCAATATTTCTTCAACTGATGTCATTCAGTCCATAATGAATACTAAGTTGAAAGACTCACGTTTTGTAATTATCCATTTCGTAGACATGTTGATTCAACTATCCTTAAACAATTTGAAGTTCGGTTAAAGTCATCTTATTAGACTGGGTTTTCAGACTAGATCTGATCTTTACTTTTCTAGACGTCTTCTGTACCTTTCACTGAATTTAAGGACTCGGATGTTAGCAGCCAAAGTAATTTTTTTGTCACGCTTTCCTAGTTAATCTTGTGTAGTGTTTGATGAAGAAATTTTCATTTCCATGAATATCTTCTTGACTAATTGACAACTAGCGTTGATATTTCCGTGTATGTTGGTAGCTTGTTTCTAACAATTCTCCGCCTATAAAATTCCTTATACATGCTCTTCTTTCAAACCGTGTGAATTATTATTATTACTATTATTTGTCATTTGGGTTCCCAATGGAACATAGAGCTTCAGTAGCACAGAACCATTTCACTCTCTTCAATCCAGTCTTTTCAGCCTGACTTCATGACTGCCCACAACCTCTCATTTCTTCCTCACACCATCTCTTCCATGTCACCCTCACTTCACACACCCAACTCGTCGTTTCCCATCTAGGTTCCACTCGAGTGCCTGGTCTGGTGCTTCATGTCCCCAATAGGCCTTCTCAGTGCATGCACAATCCAATCCATCTCCACTCTCTTCTTATGTATATTTGTTGAGCGATAGCTTCTTCGTTGGTTCTTCGTTAGCGAGCCAGAGTTCCTTCTTCCCTTTTCTTTCTAACCATCTGAGCTGAGCTTTAGTAACGAGCTAGCATAGGCAGTTGTTGATGAATATCTGTAGTTTGTTAGAAATGCTTTTCGTAACGCGCCAAGTCTCTCAACCATCACATGGAAGCAGTGACTTACTTGACTGAATTGGTGTTGAAAATCCGGATGTTGTCCACGCTTTATGCTGAGTGCAATGCAGAAGATCTCCACACTGGTTTCAGGTTAATGAGTGTCTGTCTTGTTGTCTTACCTATCCTGGCTGGCTTTCACCTCCTCGTTTGTGTCTGTGACGTGTGTAGTTGAAACGATGCTGTCCAGGAATGTGGATGAAAGAGGCTACTTCCTTTAACTTTCTCCCATTGATGGTGATTGGAGATTGTTGTTGTTGTTGGTTGTGTATCATCATTACCTCTGTCTTCTCTACGTTCACCTGAAGTCCTGTCTTTGCCGCCCTGCTTCTTCTGTCAACCTGTTACTTTTTGCTTGGTAGTTTATTCATAATAGTTGAGGAAGCTGATTGAGAAATGCTTTGGGCATAAAGAGGAATGTCAGAATTAAGTAGTATGAGAATTCAACTGAAAATAATTGGTGATGTAAATGATTCTAAGACTGAATTAGCACTCAGTATAAGGTGAAAGCTTGATGGAAAGTTTAGGATAAGAAGATGTACTAAAATTATTCCAGATTATCAACATTAAGGTGTCTGTGGAATATGGAAGTTGACGATGGGTAGGATGTTAAGGAATTTGTGAATGGTGAATGAGGTTGATGTAGTTGTAGTGGGAATATTTACCTTTTCTGAAGATATAAGTCGAGTTGTTTATTCCTGATTGCCACTGTTTCTGCACTGTGAAGGATTCACAGTTGAGTGACTTTTGTCAGATTGACAGAAACTCGTTTGTTGTGAAGCAAGTCTGGTAGTATGCATCTGGAGGCTGCATAACCGTAACACTGGGAGGTGTTTCCTAGCACCAATAACATCCTGCATAGAATTGGCCAACTTAGTGAAATTCAGTTGAAAATAATTGATAATGTGAATGAGATTAGGACTTACATAAGACTCACTTTAAGGTGATAATTTAATGGAAACAACAGGAGAGTGTGGATGAATTAGGGTGGGTGGGGGGAATTCACTTCTAAGTTACCATGCTCAATGGAAGTGAATTCTGCATATTATAAGTGATTCACCTCTCCTGTGATCAACACTTCCCTTGTCTTGTTCTTTCTGATTAATTAGGCAGCTGAAGACAGAGCGACTAGACTAAATAATGAAGTACTACGATTGGCTGATGAATTACGTCAAGAACAGGAAAACTATAAACATGCTGAAGCTTTAAGAAAACAACTTGAAGTAGAAATACGTGAAATCACTGTGAAATTAGAAGAAGCTGAAGCATTCGCTACTCGTGAAGGACGTCGTATGGTGCATAAATTACAGGTAAGTGTGTATATATGAAATATTCACAACTATCCATAAATCTGTTTGAATAGTACAGTTAAACTGTACTAAAGATTTGGCAATCACTAAAAAATTCCCTGATGAGCAAAAGTGATCACTTTCACTGTAGTTTATATAACCTACAGATTGAAAATTAGTCAGTTGATTCGGCTTAGTTTAAGACGTATCATCTCAGTTTCAAAGTGGAATTACTTCACATGGATACTCAATAATTTTGGCATCATTCATGCTCTATAATAAGTTGAGAAATGTTTTTATTTGATCTGATAGTAGATGACAAGAGATTGATTCTAATATAGGAATGACCAGCTGAATGGATCTGTGTCCTCAAGACTGATGGTATTCTCATAGGTGTTGAAATTATTCAACAAAGTCTTTTTGTAATTCTCAACACACTCTGAGATTATATTTAAGTTGCTCGCTTTAATTGAGTAGAATAGAACTTTCAGAATGTTATTTCTCTGTATAGGATGTGTTTTTACTTGTGTAATCCCGGTGTAGTATATTAGAACAAATATTTTGTATTCTTCCTCAACACATTTCGATCTTGCTAGGAAGATCCTTTTCTTCTAGAGTATGAATGTGAGGCATTAAGTTTTCAGGTTAATGTTCAAGTTTTGGTACAGCAGAAGATGGGGGTGACCTTTACAATCATTCAATTACATAATGATATGGAGCAAATATCAATGTAATACAAGTGAGTGAATAAGCCACTCGGTCAGTGAGGTTTTTCGGTTGTGTGAGTAAATTGGAACAAAAATAGGGTAGGGAAATCTTTTAGTTCGTCTATGAAAAGTACAATGGGGTTGTAGGACATCAAGGGTGAGAAAGAATAGATTACTACTAGTTTGGAAGGATGAATATTTGAGGATGAGACAATATTATCCTAAATAAATAATAATGATAACCATAAATGTACTTTTGATAACACTTGAAGTATGAGTGATAACAAAATGGATTATGTTATGGTTCATCGAATGTATATGACTCAGAAAGTAGTGTAAAATTGATGAGAATAGTAGATCAATAAGGTGCTTATGTAATAGGACTAGACAATCTACCTTGTCTTCAGATATTATTTATAACTGCCTAGGTGAGTCATTAATGTTTGCCACTATATTAGTCGGATGTCTAACCCATCTCCTCTGTTGACCGAAGAAGGATATGAGCAGATGTGTAAAGCTTCTGCAATGGTCCCCTCTTTGTGAATTATAGTAACTCGTGTCCAAGTTTTTTCAAAGCATCCTGGCCAGCCATTGTTATTTCTCTCTTTCATGAGGTAAATAAACTCCACAGAAAATGTTTTATATTCAAGGGATGGACATTTATAACTTTAATCACATTTGTACACTTCAACTGAATTCTAAGAGGATGATCAAGTCATCTTTAATTAGATTGTATAATCTAGTCAATTTCATTATTCATTGATTCAACTGATTCAATGGATAAAACTTGGTTAATTGACTATATGAAGATTAGATTAGTTCCAAAGGTATCAATTACATTGATGATTTCATTATTTTCTATATAGAAATTATTATTATTACTCTTATATTATTAGTCCCTTGGGTTCCTAGTGGAACATAGGGCTTCACTAGCACGTCTCCAGTGAACTCTGTTCTCTGAGATCTTTTGAACCTGGTTCCACGACAGCCCACAACCTCTCATTTCCTCCTCACACGACCTCCTCCATGTCACCCTCGCCAAGGACGTCCAACTCGTCGCTTCCCATGGGGATTCCACTCGAGTGACTGGCCTGACGCGTGATGTCCCCAGTCGGCCTTCTTAGTGCATGCCCAATCCATTTCCACTTCCTTCCAGTGCATATTTGTTGGGTGATAGGTTGTTGGTTGGTTCGTTCCCAGAGTTCCTTGTTACTTATTCTTTCTGGCAATCCATCTCATCTGATCTTCAGTAGCGAGCGTAAGCAGTTGTTGATGAATGTGTGTAGTTTATTGGATATCCCTTTCGTAACACGCCAAGTCTCTGAACCATACAGAAGCACTGACTTGACTGAGTTGGTGTTGAAAATCCGGATGTTGTTCACGCTTTATGCTGAGTGCAGAAGATCTCAACACTGGTTTCAGGCTAATGAACGCCTGTCTTGCTGTCTTTCCTATTCTGACATTGACATCCTCATCTGTCCCGCCTGTAGTTGAAACAGTGCTTCCTAGATAAGTGAAGGAGGTTACTTCCTTTAAGTTTCTCCCGTTGACGGTGATTGGAGTTTGTTGGTGGTGCGGTATCTTCATCACCTCTGTCTTCTCTATATTCACCTGAAGTCTCGTCTTCGCTGCCTCTTCTGTCAACTTGTTAGTTTTCATCTGTAGATCTTCAAGTTTATGTGACATCAGGCACAAGTCATCACTGGCGAAATCCAGATCTTCTAGGTTCTTTTCCGCAGTCCAGCCAGCGTATGCCCCTCTTCTCACAGCTCCCCACTGTTTACTGCATGATCCAGTCGAGTCGATCACAATCAGGAATATCATGGATGATAGTAGGTGGCACCTTGTTTCACTCCTGTCTTCACTTCACTTCAAAAGCATCAATGAGCTTCCATATATAGAAATACATAGAGAAAAACAAATAAACAAAAAATATTTACAATGAATACTACTCACTTGATATAATAATAATTCTTTGGATAAATTAATTTCTAATGGTTGATTACCATAAAAATTTTCAATTATTGATGTTAATTTTATATTTAATTGATTCAATTGATAATTATGATTAGAATTATTTGAAAAGTAGAAACAATCTTGTTTATTGATTAAATTAATCAATAATTCATCAGAAATTCCTGTTATTATAATTAATTTAATTATTGATTGATGATTTATAATGAATTAATCAATAGATTAGATGATGATGATGAATATTGAATATTCTGTAAACAAATTGGAAGAGTATTGATGCATAGATAGAATTTATTCAATTGTTGATTTAGTGTAGTCGATATTCGTTGAATCTTTCAACAGAAGAAGAAGAAGAAGAAGGAACAATGGACAAGATGAATTATGATGATATTTTAATTATACAAGTAGACTATTCATTATGATAATTTATCTACATGAAATCGAAGACAATTTTGATCTTATTCATTTGACTGATTCAATGATTCCCTTAAAGGGGATAGATATTATACTGAGATTGAGTAAAAAGTAGATGATACTGAACAACTATCCTGTTATAGTTTATATGCTACTCTTCTTCAGCAATCACTATCGATGATCACTATCAGAATCTAATTAAAATGACTAGTAATCATCTCAGTGAATATATCACTCAGTATTCAGTCATTGACTTGTATACCAACGCTTCACATTTCCAAACTATCATCAACTGACAACTTACTGTCATCATCATCATCAACATGGTGTCAGTGACAACCAGATTTTGTATACACTTTGAGTGAATGAAAGTATATTGTCCTCCTTGAGATTTGATGGTGATCATCTCCACTTTGTATGGTGTCATACATCCACCTAAACTTGCTGACAGAGAAGTCATAAACCTGGATGAAACCAATGTCTAATGTCACTTGACTTCACCAAATAATAACAGTCCCCTTAATACCAGTACTCAAAATGTATTCAGTGGACTGGCTATTCAGATCGATATTCCAGTCGAATGTTTGGAACAGAGCACCAAATAACATTATTATCTATACTTAGCATAACAGTATACTTTATTTGTTAACTGAATCTATTTTCTGAAACTGTGTAATATCCACATGTCTTGGTATCATTTCTCATTCTCATTTGGTCAGCGCTATGTGTTCTCTAGTGATTGTATTTCAATGTCGGATGAGTCATTGGTTTCCATCGTTGACCTTACTCTCTAACGTATTATATTAGTAACCTTTCTTCACTCATTTGTTGACTGGTGCTTTTGTATGTCTGTAAGCTTGAGAAAATCACAACTCAATGCAGTTTATCACCAGAACAATAAGTGACTTTCAGTTGTAATAATGTCACTGGAATTTGTAATGTTGAATGTCATGTTTTTGATGTAATCAACTTTGAAATTGGACAAATTTGGAGAAGCCAGACAACAAATTCCTTACTCATTGCTAACTTTCAAATGGATATCCTGAAGGTTGAATGGAATATATTGTAAAGTGTCAGATCAATGAGGTTGAAGGAGAGGACCAAAGTCATTCAATAATATTGAATGGTTACCCGTGTTATGCGAAAAGAGGATCTGGTGTTTCGATTATCATCGCCAACGACTGGTTAGTTTCAGTAACCATCAGAAAAGATTCAGTCTCTTTTTTGGATTAAAATGTAACTCGCTTCTAGAGTAGTTTATGATCTCAGCAATTCGTCTAGAAGAATATTTGTCCATAGAGAGGTGTGTGCATCACTCGCTGTAATGAGTTCACTTGTCGCACACAAAGATGCGCTAGCGTACACACATGCATACACACATACACCATCAGTTTATCGCAACTCAGCAGTTTCTGCCAGATGAAATGGACTTTGAAGTCACTTTTTCTGTTTTCACCATTGTATCATACAACCTGGCACACAACTGGATCACCTCAAGTTGTCAAACTTCACAGAAGTATACAAAGAATAAGTGGATTTTCAGCCTTTTTAGCAAGAGTACCCAACTATTGATTCTACATCTTCCAACACGGCTCAAACCAACAGTAAGAGAATTCATGGTCTAGTCACCCTGAATCCTATTCCGACTAAATTCAGCTTTCCATAGCACGGCACACACAAGCCATTTTAGTAGACGATCACTGTTGTCGGTTCTTTGTCATGGAATTCCGTATATGTCTCTGAAATGCCTCTCAGATCGGCTCACCTTTCTTAATTGAGCCTTGAAGTCACCTGTTATTAGGAATATATCTAAACACTTTGCTTTCTGTAGCAAAGTTGGCAGCTTCTCACTGAATTCATCCTTTGCAGTCGGTTGGTGTGTGCGTTTAGATTACGAGATTACGATACATTCAAGGTGAATTTTTAAAGATTCACTACTATGGCCAAATTGGTTCAATTTAATAACCACACTTGGGTCCAGTATACGTGAGTCGGTGGCACAGTATAAATCTGCGACCAAAGATTCCACAGTTTTGTCAAGCAATGTTTGGGATAGAGTTTAGACGTTGTCAGGGAGTGACTTTAAAGGACATGGTAACTACGAATGAAATGGCCACTTAGACTTCACTTTTTAAGCTGGAAAGGTTGATTTTCATGAAATCCAGGAGTCTAATTGATTAATGAAGTTATTGCTAGAATGATCTTTTCGTCCTGGAGAGACTTAGAAATGCTTTGCATTCAAAATTACGACCGGAACAGACTGGCAGGATTCAGGAAGAATAAATCATCTGCGGATCAAATTGCAACACTACTCTACGCATCATCATAGAGCAGAGCACATAATATAAGTCAACACTTCACCTCAAATTCATCCACTTTGAAAACGCCTCCGATAGAATCGTCCAAGAATTATTTTGGCACCCGCTTCAACAATACGGTTTTAGTGGCACAGATCTTCATCTACCTCATTCAACAGCAGCTATGTGTTTAATGAGGAGGCTACATGCCAAGTGATTCACAATGGAAGCTGAGCGACACCTTCGAAGTGAAGTGAAGACAGGTGTAAGACAAGACAAAGTTGCCCACTATCACCGATCATCTTCCTCATTGTGGTCGACTTGACTTGACTTGACTTGACTTGACTTGACTGGACTGGACTGGACTGAATCATGCAACAAACTGAGAGAGGCGAAAAGATGAGCATATGCTCGCTGTTTGACCGATGAAAAGACACCAGGAGAAGATTTGGATTTCGCTGTTGATGATTTATGCCTAATGTGTTATGTCGCACAAACTGGAATATGTACAGGGGAAAAGTAACACGTTGGCAGAGGAAGTGATGTGAGGCAGGGTAGCGAAGGAACATGGAACTTCCTTCAGTTGAACGAAGAGAAGACAGATTTGATGAAGATACCCAAGTGACGACAACAACAAGCACCAATCATGAACAGGAGAAATCTGAACGAAGTTGTCTCCTTCACCTACCCATCTAGGCAGCATCGTTTCAACTGCAGGCGGTACAGGCACAGATGAGCATGTCAAAGCCAGGATTTGGAAGACAACAACGTCAACTTTCCTGCATCAATCTAAAATCACTCAGTGTAGAGATCTACTGCACTGCATTGCACTGCACTCAGCATAAAGCGTGGACAACATCCGGATTCCCAACCCTTATTCACTCATGCAAGTCAGTGCTTCTATATGATGGTTGGCATATTACGAAAAGCATTTCCAACAAATTGCAGAAATTCATCATCAACAGCTGCCGCCTACGTTCACTCCACACTGAAGATGGAGATCAGGTAGCCAGAATAATCAGATTAAGGAACAAGAAACTCTGGCTGGCTGGCTGACTGGCTGGCAACCAACCATCCAACCAAGCAGGAAGCTATGGCCCAACAAATGGATTGCATTGGATTGGGCGTCCACTGAGAAGACCGTTTGGTGACATCACGTGATAGGCCAATACCCTGGAGTGAAGCTATATTGGAAACAACTAGTTGGGCATCTGAGGCGAGGATGACATGGAGGAGATTGTGTGAGGAAGAAATGTTAGGTTATGGGGAGTCTTGGAGCCAGGTTGATAAAGAAGACTACAGAGAGGGGAGTGAAATGGCTACAAGCTACTGTAGCCAAACAAACAATAATAAATAATGATAACACAATGGCCTTTAGAGTCACTCCTGAAAGGCTACCTTACGCATTACAAAAATGAACGACAACTTTTGTTTATCATCTCAACATGTGAATATGGAATTATTGACCAATCGGTCATGGATAAGGTTAAAATGTACACCAAAAAGTAGTTCCCAAACTGGGTCCTATTTCATGTCATCAAGTTCTAACTGAGCACCATATGTTTATATGGGTATGGCTTTCTAAGTGCACAAGTTTCCGCACTACAATGGTGAGTTCCAAAATACCAACTATCAAAAGTAAGTCGTATTCAGATGGTTGTTATCACTCAACAGTAAGCGATCTACTTAAAAAATGTAGAATTTCATATAACATTACTAATCGTTTGTTGGTTAATTTTTCCAATGATTATAATCAATCTTTGACAAGTAGCTGAGAATAAAAATGCCAGAGTCTATGTCTCCCTTGGCTAGGGAAATAGGAAGTCATTGGTTACCTTCATTGATGGATGGTAAGATGTGTGACTTCAGCAATGAATAGTACGGACTCGAACCCATGAAGGAATATTAGCTTCCTTAGGCTAATTGATACATCTTGATGATGAATCCCATAGAGAACGAAATCTAGGCAACTATGGTTCAGTGTCTACCGATCTTCTTACATCTTCAATGTGTTATACTGTGTGGTACTTCTAAGCAGCTTAACACAGTTGCCTTGATCTTTCTATGTCTGTAACTGGCGAAACGCATATGTACAACGTAGTTATTGTCATGGTTTACACGAATCTGTCATGTATTCCGAACGTCAACAATCAGTCTTGTGATCTTCGCGAAGGCATGCTCAAGTGCATTAGCCTACTTCTTTGAAGTTCAATCAAGTCACTAGTTTGTGTGGTCAGCTGATGTAACTTCGCTTGGTGAAATTTGTAACTGCATACCGGAAGCGAGAGTGACATACGTTAATCTAGGCCGTTTTTGGCGCTTTGGCGACGTATAAGGTTGGGTTTAGAAGGATTCGATGTGAGCAGCTCTGCCTTATGCCTATGACACGTGGCATCTTGGAGCTGAGAATGTATGATGACTCTGTATGTTCGATCAGTATTTTCTCCGCAGGATTGCTCATAACCAGTGGCAATACGATGTAAGTAAGTAATTCTGAGGTATGACAGCATGTATTTGGGCATGATGAAGATCGTCATTCAGTCAGTGAAGTCATCTGAAAACACCAACTTCGGTGGCTTGGACACGTGTTACGCAATTAGTCCCAACGGCTTCCATAACGTTCATTGTTTGCTAGCCCTATGGGACTGAATAGAAGAAGTGGAGGGGTAGTCAGTACATGACTTGCTGATTTGAAGTGAAGGATTTTGCTGAATGACGACTCCATGCTTTGGGTGTGGTCCAAGAGATCGCACCACTCATTGAGGTTTGAGACGTTATCAGATATGGTTCAGAATAGAAACCAGTGGCATTCATGCTATAGTTTCCTACTGTCTTCTGCTGCTGTTTCTTGCTGGACTACCCTTTTAATCATTCTGATCTTATTGTGTCCTTCTTTACACATCCACTTCCCATTGCATAAGTACAACCAGCTGACCACTTGAGAAGAGGACGAAAATTATGACCTGGATCTCGTTGCTATTCACTACCCATTATCAGTAATAAAGTACTTTTGTTGATCTATTGTTATGGAATGGTAAGAGAGTTCTACCAACTGTCAAAGTACAATAAACGGAGATGAGTCATCTGTCGTTAGAGAAAAACACATTCAAATTCATGCTGGAGGTTTGTTAGGATTGATTGATGTTTAAGTAGTATTTAGCATAGGCTGATATCAGTCTAAGAACTAACCGTTCTAGGTTGAACGTCTGATGAGTTCGTGAATGTGTACCCCTAAGGAGTCCCATACTACGACACTTCAAGATTTTTAGTGTCCCACCAACTGATGAGTACAATCTTGAATCTTGCTGGTCTAGTAGAAAGGTTGATGCTATGAATATCAGCGTTAGTGACAGTTTATCCTTCCCACACAATCTCACCATTGGATGACTAGCATAGGTGAATGACAGAGTGACTGTATAGAAGTCCCCTCAGACAGCTTCATTTGTTGTGTCTACGTTGAATTCCACACTCAAAATTGGCTTTTTCTTCTCAACAAGGATAGGATACTGATATGTAGTATTCCAATGTAGATTTTTATCTATGATTCTCTCTGAGTATTCATTTCTGATGAACATCTATCTCTTAAAGAAGTTGAATTTCGTCTTTTAAAGTACAAATCTTTCAGATACTAGAGTAGGGGGAATGAGAATTCACCTATGCGATTGTACAGTCAAACAAGATGAATTCGTCGAAAAGTTATTTCAAGTTGTTATTCATCGTAGACTGACATCAGTTAGAGGAACAAAGGAAACCTGGAAGCACTGGACAGCTGTTTCGTCCTAGTATGGGACCCCCCAGCAGTGCGCACCCCCGACTCCACCAAAGATCGAACCCGCTACCCTCAGGTTTCGTGGCCAGCACGTTGCCATTGATCCACTGGGTCACAATCCAATGGTCCATATTTCCAACTTCTGTTAGCTCACGATATAGCGCAACCGCCATCCAGTGTCATCTTTAAGTAACTGTCCTCACGACCATCAGGGTTTGCCCCCAATGGTAACCACTTGTCATTCGAAGTTCGGGAATACCTCTCGAAGCTAGTCACATCCCTCAAGTGTAGTGTAGGAGTATCTACAACAAACGATTTTCATTTAGATGTCATCCTAGTGATGTACACGAAAAGGTTGTACGAACGAATCAAGACGTTGGTAGCTACGCTCATGTATACAGTGACCAGTTTCAGTTTCTTGAAACTAACTTACAGGTAAAAAAAACTACAGTTTTTGTCTGGATTCCACTATAGCTATCTATCTATCTATCTATCTATCTCATAGGCTAAATGTATGTAGATAAAAATTAGGTGAAGAAGGTCTAACAACTTACAGATACTTCAGTGCGCTTTGTAGACATTCTATAAATATCTTCAGGTTCAAGTTTATACAGTCGATTTCTTGATGAGATACCACGATAGTAACAACCAGATTTCATAAATTCATTCTCGGGAAATTGTAATCGCCATAATTCATATATTCTAGATATTGCTAAATTGAGCATTGAATTCTTATTGTTTATTGAACCCATTGAACATGTTGATACATTTAATGTTATCTTGTTATCAGAATTAATTTGTTTATTCAATTGATAATAATAATAATTACAATTATTATTGTTTAAATAATCTAATGTTTTCCCAAATAAACAACTTGTATCATACACATAAGTACGTGGATGATAAATATGGACTCGCCAGTATAATTCGATATCATATGGAAGATAATCAGTACAAATTGACTGATCTTCAATATGATCTTGGATAATATTCTTCTGTTTAATTGTAGTTGATAGGGATGATTCATTGTCTAATTGATTATAAGCCAATGATGTGCTGGCAATATTCTTACTACTTATATTCTTGTTATCAGTAGTAGTTGTTGTTGAATGAAAGAGATTAATTGGATTTTCATAAATTGTTGTATTATTACAATAATATTGATTTATTTGATGATCAAGTTTTCTAATGTAAAGATACTTTTGATAGCGTTCATAAGCTTCTTGTAGAAATGTTTTATTCATATAGTGTGGCATTGAGATCTGATAGAAAAGGTTAACAGGAAAGTGATAAGTAACCCGATAACACTACCATTCACTCTCTTCTCTTTTATACTTCAGTTTATACGGAATAGATAATTGAACAAATACTCATCTGGTTTCTAAGAGTGAAGTGATTGACAGAAGAATAGCGATAACCAGAACGTTACTAAAGTAATGAGACGCCTGTTCTTAATCAGAACCTCATACTGGACTAATCTCTATAAATCATGTGGCAGAGTCTGGCATATGTAATTGTGAAGACCCTAGAATGTACAGGAAGTGTATTGCTGCATTTCGTTTACTGATTAATTAGACGCATTACATACAGGTGAAGGAACAGTACTGTTTACTAGATAACGTTTCACACATAATCTATTGGCCACATTCATATCAAGACGACTAATTCCACAGCACTCAGACATCCTCTATATACTCCTAACTTCACCTCCTTTGCTATATAGGCAGTAAGATTTTCCATGTATCCAGAACAGGTGTTGAGTCATTTCTACTACATGTGTCTGATGTTGATTGAATAAACAAAGATTCAGTTATCAATCTCACCCTCCACTGCTGTGTTATGTTAGTTTACAGGATTATCATCATCATCTTCCTTTGTATTGTGTAGTTGTATATAATGGTATGCATAGCTATATTTGAGCTTTCGCCTAAATTGCTTACCCTTACTAGGATCCACTAATTGTGATCTGGAGAGGGTTATGTTCTCGGATAGTCTAATTGACTTGACCCTAGTCGATTATTTTCATCTATTAGATATTTCGCCTGACAATCGTTGTAAAGCATTTGGCAAACTGAATTATTCTGCTTAATTGAATCAATGGGATCTTTTAACATACAAAGCTTATTTTGAAGTGAGTTTGTAAGTTTAAATGCCATTCTTTTCTCAGTCAGCCTTGCAGAGAATCATGAGAAATTTCACTAAGGTATCTTGCATTCATGGTAATAGTGTAAAGGTTTTGAAATCTCTCTCTCCATACCATTACTACTACTATTAACACCTGTGTTACTGATATAAGTCATATTTTTCTTACGATTTCTAAGGGAATTATCAATTAATTTAGGAGGGTAATTGGTGATGAGTAAGGTGTCTTTAATGGTGTCTATTTTCTTATCTTAGATTTTCCGACCCTGTTACCTAGACATTTTACCAAGCCAACTTTAATTACCCACATAACGACTCGAATTGAAGGTTTTATATAGACATCGGTGTCCAAATTCCCATCGTATTTCTGTTTAATTCTTCTTATCCCCTTTCACCACTCTCTAATTTACAGGTGACTTAGAATGTGTTCACAACCAAATTCTTTTCTGTGTGAATAAATTGTTTATGCGCTCCGATTTCAACACTATGAACGTGTTGTCTACATATCGAAAGCATATATTTCGCGCCGCAATAAATCTTCCTGCAGCCACCAGTTCTCCGCTATCCACAAATATATCAGTCACAATAGGGGGATATTGGTGATCTCATTACAACTCCTTTGTGTTAAAGATTGTGGAGGTTGGGTACACCTTTATTCATAGCATGATATCATCTAATGGCATCTTAGTTTCTAGTGTGAGTTTATACTCATTATTCAGGTTGTTTGTAACTGCTTCCACAGACATGTCAATCAGTACATTAGTATACAAACTGACTATATCAAAACTAATCACCTGATTCATTGTCGTCTAATCTGTGATTCAAGTTATCAGAGCTGGTGAGTGTCAATGTAGAACGGTGTTTAATTGGACCCAGTTGCATGACTAAATATTTAGACAAGTTATAAGTAGGAGTGTTTCTGAAGTGTACCATAAATCCTATTCGAATTATTAGTTTTCGACACTAAATTAAACCACTTCCATTCATCCAGAAACGACTTTATTCGGCATGATACATCCACCGTGTTTCTTTCAAACTTTACTGATAATAGCATCCACTGGTTTCTCAACTTATTTGTATGGTTCTGTTTCTATACCTTCCTTAACTTTCTGGACATAATCAGCCTTGTTTAACACAACTGTTGAATTACCTTTGTTCGACATACCAGTCACTATGCTTACACTGGGTGATGAATGAGGATGAAATGGAAATGTGGACCGCAGCCGGATTCCAACCAGCACCGCGTTTCTGGCTCCATGGTCTACCAACTCAGCTACGAGGTTGAAAGTGTGAACGGTGGCTGGACATCGTAGCTCAGTTGGTGAAGTATCGATCAGGAAACCAAGTGGTTGCTGATTCAAATTTGGTTATGGTTCAACTTTCTCATTTCATCTCCAGTTATCAAGCAGTATGAGTAACAGTCAGCCAAACGACGGGGATCTCATTCAGATAGTCAAAATGATAATTACTTTGTTCTGTTTTGTCTTCTTCTGTTGTTTAAGTGTTAGATGAAGTTGTGTTCGAATCTCATCTGTCATCGCCTTATCTACTGAACTTAATGTTATTTCAATTTTAAGGATGACATCTTCAGATATCAATCCACTAACTGCTACATAGAAGTTAATTTCTTTCTTCAATACCTCTATTTCTGTTCAGCTTAGAAGCTTAGTTGAAAGACTGACCACTTACTTTATTTTATGGTTGACTGGTAGTGTGCTATCGGAAATTTCATTGTTCTCTACTCAATACTTTTCTCCCATTAGTCTGTTGAACTTTTTCACTTAAATATTCTTCAATGTGCAGACAGCAGGTGATCTCAATTTGTTGAAACTATCGAGAATCACTTGAAGAGGACCAAGATGAATGAGACACTTGATTGTACAAGTGTGTGTAACATTTTCATTTCAGTCAGATCTTTAAATCGTGATCGAAGGATTAGCTTAGATGGAAAGGATATTAAGTGATAACTTGATCAGTAGACTTGTTAAGACATGAATGTATTACAAAGAGGATAACTGATTTCCTATTACCATTGGAACCGGTCACCTCTATAATTGATTTACTCGACCTCTATATCAGCCATCTTCAAAACAACATGAGCTGAAAATAGACTGGGTATTCATTGCCAAAAAAAAGTTGATTTCTTGAAGTCAATTCAAAGAGGAAACTATTTGACGAATCATTTTTAAAAGTTCATCATAATTATGATAACAACAGACAATAGATGCGTGGAGGGAGTCTGATCTCTTCAAAAATTTGAAATAGCTAGTCCCTTTTTATGAATTTCGATTTGTGTATAAGGTTGTGGAGGTTGGGTACACCTTTATTCATAGCATGATATCATCTAATGGCATCTTAGTTTCTAGTGTGAGTTTATACTCATTATTCAGGTTGTTTGTAACTGCTTCCACAGACATGTCAATCAGTATATTAGTATACAAACTGACCATATCAAAACTAATCACCTGATTCATTGTCGTCTAATCTGTGATTCAAGTTATCAGAGCTGGTGAGTGTCAATGTAGAACGGTGTTTAATTGGACCCAGTTGCATGACTAGATTCAATTAGCAAGGTTTACAAATGTGGCCAGTGAATACATCTGGGTTACTATTTCATATAGGCATGTTTAATGAATACTAAGGTACACCAAAAGAAAGGTTAACTACAGTGTTCCTATCTGGAATGATTAACTGTATTCAAGGTGAACTGTTGAAATGTTCTCAAGGTACTGAACACTTTGAATGAATGTTTCCGGTTTTGCATACCTCTGTTCATATAACTAGGTGAATATCTACCAAATGAATCTAGCACTTCAGCTGATAGTAATAAAACACAAGAGAGTAACAGTTTGTTTACCTTAGACACACATACATCTGCACAGAGATTTGGACATAACATCATTCCATGAAGACTTTGTTTTTGTTTGAAACAAGAGACAAGCAATTTCACTATTATAGGTTGAACAAGATGAGAATGTTATGAATGACTATCTGTTGATAGATACATTTCACTTTTCCGCTTTAAACTCTTTCCATATGATGAGTTGTTCATCGTTGTTAATCGTGATTATGATACCTACTGACAATACATGCATGGAAGGAGTCTGATCTCTCCAAAACTTTGAAACAGCTAGTCCCTTTTTATGAATTTCGATGGCATAATTAGAAGATGAAGTTTAACTGGAAAATTTGTCATGTATTTGTGTGAGACATTTTGAACAATCTGATCTCCCATACATTTTTACTTATCTCAAATGAATTCAGTAAAACATCAAAGAGTGTGAGGACAATTAAATGTTTGAAAGAATTATGGAACAGATCAGATAGAGTCATTTTCAAACTCAATAATGGATCAGATATTGTTGTGAACGAATAAATCTGACTATAACAGAAAGCAAGATCCGGATTTTCAACACCAATCTAGTCAAGTAACTCAGTGCTCGCTTCTATGTGATGATGGTTGAGGAAGTTGGCGTGTCACGAAAACCACTCCCAACAAACTGCACACATACATCATGAAGAGCTGCCACCTACACTGGCTTGATAGTGAAGATCAGATGAGATGGTGAGAAAGAATAGTCAAGAAGGAAGTGTGGCTGGCTGACTGACAACCAACGAACCAACCAATGCAGGAGGTATCACTCAACAAATATTCAGAAGAAGGGAGTGGATATGGATTGGGCAAGCACTGGGGAGGCCGATTGGTGACATCACATGTCAGGCGAAGTTGTCGAGTGGAACCCAGATGGGAATGGGTGAGTTGGGCGTGTGAGGTGATGGTGAGATGGAGGAGATGATGTGAGGAAGAAATGAGAGGTTGTTGGCAGTTGTGGTGGCAGGTTCGAATGACTGCATATTGGAGAGTGGAATGGTGATGTGTTACTGAATTCTTTATTCACTAATATGGCTTTGTCCAGGACTATTAGCTTTCTCTGTGACTATAAATCCTCTAGAAATGTCTCATTTTCTATTCGTCTAACCTTTTCGAGGGGAGCTATTATTTCCGTGTACCAACGAAGTCCACTTCATATTTGAAGGTGAACGTTTTCAATAAGTTGACGCTGCAGCTATGAGTAACCTCTCATGACTATTACTAGCTGATATTTATATGTCATATATCGAAAATCTGGTTGGTGAAATCTTATCCGTAAAGACGTATGAGGATATGGCCTGTCTACTAGAAAGACTTAACACCGTACAAACTGCTATCAGCCTAATTTATGAAGAAGAGGATAATAATCATCTGCTGTACTCAGACATGCTCCTGAGTCGACGAGATGCTTTAGTAAAACGGTCAGTTCATAGAAGGTCTATGTAGACAGAACAAAAACTGGAATTTCCACAGTTTTTGTCCAATCCAATACTTGTTTAATAGGATCTACCGTATCAGTACATCAGACACGATGGATGAAGATATCAAGTTACTGATTAAAACATTTATAGGAAACGGATATTCCTCTGAAGTTAATAAACTGTAGCACTAAAGCTAACTGTATACACGGTTCCTTAGAAAAGCCTCCATATCACCCTACCATACAGAGGGGATAGTTGAACAGTATCATTTTGAGACGTAGGCTAATATCAACCATCCCACTATGTTTACCAATTTACATGTGTGTGTGTGTGTGTGTGTGTGTGTGTGTGTGTGTGTGGTCATACATACATACATTATTATTTATTATTATTAGTCCCTTGGGTTCCTAGTGGAACATAGGGCTTCACTAGCACGTCTCCAGTGAACTCTGTTCTCTGAGATCTTTTGAACCTGGTTCCACGACAGCCCACAACCTCTCATTTCCTCCTCGCACGACCTCCTCCATGTCACCCTCGCCAAGGACGTCCAACTCGTCGCTTCCCATGGGGATTCCACTCGAGTGACTGGCCTGACGCGTGATGTCCCCAGTCGGCCTTCTTAGTGCATGCCCAATCCATTTCCACTTCCTTCCAGTGCATATTTGTTGGGTGATAGGTTGTTGGTTGGTTCGTTCCCAGAGTTCCTTGTTGCTTATTCTTTCTGGCAATCCATCTCATCTGATCTTCAGTAGCGAGACAGCGTAAGCAGTTGTTGATCAATGTCTGTAGTTTATTGGATATCCCTTTCGTAACACGCCAAGTCTCTGAACCATACAGAAGCACTGACTTGACTGAGTTGGTGTTGAAAATCCGGATGTTGTTCACGCTTTATGCTGAGTGCAGAAGATCTCAACACTGGTTTCAGGCTAATGAACGCCTGTCTTGCTTTTCTGATTCTGACTTTGACATCCTCATCTGTCCCGCCTGTAGTTGAAACAGTGCTTCCTAGATAAGTGAAGGAGGTTACTTCCTTTAAGTTTCTCCCGTTGATGGTGACTGGAGTTTGTTGTTGTTGTTGGTGGTGGTGGTGCGGTATCTTCATCACCTCTGTCTTCTCTATATTCACCTGAAGTCTCGTCTTCGCTGCCTCTTCTGTATACATACATACATAGGGAGGAATAATCGAACCACGCAATTTGGGGTGAAAGAACATGTACCAAAATGGCTTCAAAAACAAATGGAGTATGAAATCTTGATAAATCCAAGTGGGAGACAACTCTTTTTATCTTCAGCTAAGCATATTATGCAAACAGTTTTCAAAGGCTTCATTTTAATACCCTGCTTGTGTTAGTTGTTGTATTTGTTCCCCCCACTCTTCGGTATAACAGATACATAGATGACACTTTAATCCTCTATGAAGAGGATAGTAACCTTGAAGAAATACTGCGAAAGTTCAGTGGATTTTATAAGTCAAGACAACTCAGAATACGACTATTTGGACGTTTTATTGAGAAGACAAGATGCCTCCGCCATCCGATAAAGAGGATAATATACTCATTTTCCAAGCTGGGTTCCAATAGCCAGGAAAAGCAACCCTGCGTATACAAGAATTAGAAGAATTTGTACGGATGATGATTAGGAACCAGAAGTGCTTCAAAGAGTGTCCATCGAGAGTGATTATCCTTCAAGATCTATTGAGAGGGACATGAAGCGTGAGAATTTCAAAAACGAAAATCTCTTATACTTCCAAAGAAGAAACTGTTTAAGAATATTGAATTCAAGGGAGATACATTGGTAGAGATTCTGAAGAAGATATTCTTTTCCATTGAGCTTCAGATTGTTTTCTCCAGTCAGAGACTGATTCGAGGATATGTACAAGACAAACTATCGTTTTAGCCACCGACATGTGTGTGTTTATTGATTACTTATCTACTCTAGTCGAACTGGTTACATAGGCCGAAAAAAGCGTGTTCTATCCAAATGCATCTCCGAACACTATCCTGAATGGCTGTCTAAAAGACAGTGTAAAATCGTCGACAGTTAGATTCTTGACCATTCGGTTATCTCTGATCATTGTATGCCACGAGAATCTTCTTTCAAAGTCATTTATAAAGTGAAGTCAGACATTTCGAAGGGAGTTAGTATTCACCATCTCAACACAGGAGAGGCTCTAGCAGTTCAATGTTACATGCCTGATCATTCAACCTACAACTTTGCTTTGGTCATACTTCAGAGACAGTTAGTGCACATTAGCCTTTCATTGATTAATTTGAATGTTTTCGGTGTCTAATGACCTTCTTCAAAGCCTTGATCAACTATCGGCCGCTTAAAGTGTGAATGGAACAGCGTTTAATGTTGTATGGTTGAGCATCAAGTTTGACGATTCATTCAGATACTCAACTGACTAGACAGTCATTCTAGTACTTTCATTCAACTACTTAGATGCTCAAAGACATATATGACTATATCAGTCTAGTAAAAATCCTGGTAACAGCCAGTTCATACCACAAGCTATTCTGACTAATATATTCCGTAACTGAAAAGTTGGAAGTTTTCAAGGCAGTCAGTATGAATATGAGACGTGAAAACACTGTGTAACAGAGAATACACAGCAATGGAGCAATTATGGAACTCGATATGATGACTTAGGTGAAGATAATGCGGAGAAGAACTTTCACCAGTGAGCTCAATTTCAAGTCACACCACTCAGAGTCTATTAGCATCGATTTCGTTTACCATCTAGACCTCAGTCAACTAGTTTTCATTTCCCTACCTGGCTTTAGTTAAAAATCTGAGATTTCTTGAACCGATACGGGTTTCTAATCTGCCGGCTTCTTACTTTCCTCCAGCGTGATCTTAAATCAACCAGCATTGTGCGATAAAATAGACGGTGACTAGACATTTGTGACACGTGACCCAACAACTTTGTCGTCTCGAATTCTAAGCATAACGCTTACGCTAATGACGCGAACTGTTGCATAGTATACCATCAAGCCTTAGTGACACAACTAAGCACTTTGCCAGCAGGAAAGATGGAGTAAGCTGGTGTAGCGTCACATACCTCTCCAGAATCAATAGCCTAGGGTTTGACGAGGTTCAACATTGATAGTAATCTTCTTAGTTTTACCGGAATCGCTAGCCTGAAGTCACACAGTTAAGCATCTAGATCATTTAGCAGGCTGTCGTGTTACATTGCACTGCTATAATATTTTCACTACCAAGGGAATTAAACAAGCATGTTACAGTGCATATGTTTAGCCCTGAAGTGATAGATCCCTATGCAATTCTCAAAGCCGCACTTCTGAAGCAAAGTGATCTCACACATCACCGGCGACTAGACAAATTGCTTCGTAACATCAAGCTAGGCAGCAACTCAGCTACTGACGTCCTCGCACGCATGCGAGAAGTTGTGGGCACACGAACATTCCATAATGGCCTTCTCCAAGAGCTATTCCCCTCGAAACTACCACAAACGGTACAAACCATGTTAATGACACTTCAGTCAGTTCCACTCAATGACCTGGCAGCCTTAGCAGAAAAAAATATTGCAGATTTCTAGCAGCCCCGTTTCCAACGTCTGCAATAAAACTGAGAGCCAGAATTCAGTAGTAACAGAGCTATACAACTCCGTTAGCTAGCTGCTATGAACCCGAGGCCCCAGGTTACGAAGCACATCACAGAAACGTGTCTCAGCCCATCGCAGCAACTCGCGTGGCTATCCAAAAACTAAACCCAACATAGTGAAAAACCCTAAATGGTGCTGGTTTCACAATACCTGTAGGGACGAAGTTAGAATTCGCCGAAAAGATTCGGAAAAGTGTCACGCCGGCACGCGTTCACGGCAATCGCAGCCGGGGGAAACAGCCGTTTGCTTTACGTAACCGATATAAAAACGAAAGTTCGCTACGTCGTCGATACCGGTGCAGAGGTTAGCGTTCGTCATCATGACCCATCCTTCAATCTTCAAGCATCCAACGGCAAGGTCATCGCAACTTTCGGGAGATGGTACGCCTACCTCAGTTTAGTTCTACGTAAACCTATTCACTGGAGTTTCCTCCTAGCTGACGTTTCTATAACAATCACTAGTATAGATTAAATGAACCATTACAATCTACTTGTAGATACTCACCAACGAAGACTCATAGATAACAATAAGAAGTTATCTATTGGCGACGCAACCTACGTAGGACTGACTTTAGCCGTAGTTAGAACTAGTCATTCAGGTGACGTGTCCTATCAGGTATGTTTAAAGAAATCTCCAGAGTTACAACAACCGAAGCATACTCTACCGTGCATAATCAGCAATGTTATGTATTGCATCACAACCACAAGTCCACCTGTGGCATCCAAAGCACACTGTCTGGCCCATGCTAAGCTCAAAACGGCGAAAAGCGAATTCAATCACATGTTTCTGAGCATCATAGAATCGTCAAACAGTCCTTAGGCATCACCATTGCATACAGTTTACAAATAGATGGCACAATACTCAAAATTATTGACAAGTCAAACAAGCCGTTCAGAGACTTCTTCTATGACCCAATTACTGGTATTTGAGGAAAGCATCATAAGGCATCTTTTCAATACTCGAATAGAATACAATATCACTTACCTGATAATAGAAATTATCATTATAGTCAATTAGTTGAAGAGGATTGAATGATAATTGTGATACCCAGTTGGTGAGTCGAGATTTAGAACAATTTAGATTCTTCAAAGAAAGATTGAATGGTTCATTAGGGTAACGTGATTTCCACAATTCATACGACTTCTTTGTTAGATCCTTGAACGCTTTATCGCATACAAGACAATGATCAATTTGTTCACCGAAAATTCTGAAAATAAAATACAAACAAACGAAAAAAAGTGTATGAGAAATTTCACCGATGAATTGCGTCTAATGTCTTGTCGCACAAACTCAAAGATCTACAGACAAAATCTAACAAGTTGACAAAAGAGACAGGGCAGCGAAAACGGGACCTCAACTGAACGTCGAGACAACAGAGGTGATGATCATACCCAACAAACAACACCATCAACAACAAACACTAATCGTCATGAACGGGAGAGACTCATAGGAAATGACCTCTTTCACCTATCTAGGCAGCATTGTTTCAACTACAGGTGGTACAGGCACAGATGTTGATGTCAAAACAAGCCAGCCAGCATCGGAAAGACAGCAAGACACGCCTTCCTGCATTAATCTCAAATCAGTTAGTGTGCACATCTACTCCACTCCACTCCACTCAGCATATAGCGTGAACAGGATACGGATTTTCAACACCAGTCTAGTCAAGTAACTCAGTGCTCGCTTCTATGTGATGATGGTTGAGGAAGTTGGCGTGTCACGAAAACCACTCCCAACAAACTACAGACACTCGTCAACAACTGACACCTACGATCGCTCGATACTGAAGACTAGATGAGATGGCGAGAAAGAATAAGCAAGAAGGAAGTGTGGCTGGCTGGCTGACAACCAACGAACCAACCAATGCAGGAGGTATCACTCAACAAATATTCAGAAGAAGGGAGTGGATATGGATTGGGCAAGCACTGGGGAGGCCGATTGGTGACATCACATGTCAGGCGAAGTTGTCGAGTGGAACCCAGATGGGAATGGGTGAGTTGGGCGTGTGAGGTGATGGTGAGATGGAGGAGATGATGTGAGGAAGAAATGAGAGGTTGTTGGCAGTTGTGGTGGCAGGTTCGAATGACTGCATATTGGAGAGTGGAATGGAGGCGTGTTAGTGAAGCTTTCTGTTCCACTAGGAATCCAAGCGACAAATTATAATTATTCAAACTGAACTTCAGCATTCTTTGTAACGACATATACTTCATTGATGATGAAAATCTGTTTTCGTAAATCAACTTATCTCTGTCAAGGTTTTGAATGGCTATAAAATGCACGTTACAAGACGACAGAAAAAAAATATCCTCTGTACTGAAACAGTTTCAATGAGGTTTCTCAGTGGAACAAACATCGAAAGGCTGAAAGTGTACAAACAATTTGTCATATATACGTTTGAACTACCGTCTAAATATATTCCGTCTGTCATCAGTCACCAAGATGTTACAGTAATACTTCACTTTATCGAGGTAGTACTAGTTGCTATGACTTTGTAATAACAAATGACACATTTAAGGTGTTAGTTAGTTGGTTGCAATCAGTATAAAGTTCTTCTCAACCTACGTCTCATCTTTTTTTGGCACTTTTTAGTAAGACGTATCTACAACCTTTACCGAAGTAATGTCCCACCTGAGAATCAATCTTGTGTCACCCAGTGGACAGCCATGTTAGAATAGAATTCGATCGACACTTAGAACTAGACAACATGAAATTGGTCGCTCTCATGTGACCAGTCACTGTGCATATGTAAAGCATCATATCATTGTTGTAAGTAACTAGTGCTAATAATATGAATAAACAAGGGCATTGAACTCATAACAACGTAGGAAAGTGAAAGGTTTTATCAGTGAAATGGGAGATAGAGAGAGAGGCAAAGTAGAAGAAAGTGATAGGATGTAGTGTAGTGTGGTCTGATGTGATGGAACAAGTGTTGAAATTGTACAGTATGTGATAGGAAACTTCATAAGGAACGTGGATGAAAGCAGATGAAGTCGATGAGCATATTTCATTTCAACGCATAAATCAGGTTTTCTAGTGTTGATTTCTATGTCTTCGGTCACTGTTTAGGCTACTGTGACAACTACAGTGATGGTCAATCTGGTGTATATATTTTATGCAGAATTTGCCATTCTATGAAAGGTGGAGAAATCTGATTGGTTGTTAGAATGATTCTTGCAAACACTGTTGAACATAGTTTATAGGCGCATTCGGGGAGATTGTCAGAGTTAGTTTACAAACAATCTGTATAACTAGTAATGATGGGCAGTGGCTATCAGTAAAATCCAGGATGCGCATTTCGTCCTATTTCAGACTTGTCAGCTGGATGTACCTGTCTCACAGTGAGTGATGTTGTTCTCACCGGGATTCGGACTCGGGAGCGATCGCATCAAACGTGAGAACGTTGAAACTGAATTTTTCGGTAAATTTCCCATTCAAAGTTGGCCTGAATATCATTAGTTGTATTTTAACAAGTAGGCTGTTTAAGAATTGATGATTTTCTTAGAAATAAATTGATCATCGAAGTGAAATTCATTTAGTTTATATTGCTCATAAACGATCTGTAAGGTGGACCAATGACAAATTAATCAGCTGCATGATGAAGACCTTGGTTTATGCCCACTCATCGTGACTTAGTAGCTGAATGGTTAACGTGCTCCATGTGAATGCTGAAGATTAGGACTTCCATACCTAGCCGGGTCGTTAGTACGTGATACTGAGGAATCGTGTATTCCGCCCAAACAGCTGTCCAATTTTGCCAGGTTTACAAGGGTTCGCCAGCTGATATAGGTCCATGATTAATATATATATAATATTATATTACTATTTTCTTCTTGGGTTCATAGTGGAACAGAAAGCTTCACTAACACGCCTCCATTCCACTCTCCAATATGCAGTCATTCGAACCTGCCACCACAACTGCCAACAACCTCTCATTTCTTCCTCACATCATCTCCTCCATCTCACCATCACCTCACACGCCCAACTCACCCATTCCCATCTGGGTTCCACTCGACAACTTCGCCTGACATGTGATGTCACCAATCGGCCTCCCCAGTGCTTGCCCAATCCATATCCACTCCCTTCTTCTGAATATTTGTTGAGTGATACCTCCTGCATTGGTTGGTTCGTTGGTTGTCAGCCAGCCAGCCACACTTCCTTCTTGCTTATTCTTTCTCGCCATCTCATCTAGTCTTCAGTATCGAGCGATCGTAGGTGTCAGTTGTTGACGAGTGTCTGTAGTTTGTTGGGAGTGGTTTTCGTGACACGCCAACTTCCTCAACCATCATCACATAGAAGCGAGCACTGAGTTACTTGACTAGACTGGTGTTGAAAATCCGTATCCTGTTCACGCTATATGCTGAGTGGAGTGGAGTGGAGTAGATGTGCACACTAACTGATTTGAGATTAATGCAGGAAGGCGTGTCTTGCTGTCTTTCCGATGCTGGCTGGCTTGTTTTGACATCAACATCTGTGCCTGTACCACCTGTAGTTGAAACAATGCTGCCTAGATAGGTGAAAGAGGTCATTTCCTATGAGTCTCTCCCGTTCATGACGATTAGTGTTTGTTGTTGATGGTGTTGTTTGTTGGGTATGATCATCACCTCTGTTGTCTCGACGTTCAGTTGAGGTCCCGTTTTCGCTGCCCTGTCTCTTTTGTCAACTTGTTAGATTTTGTCTGTAGATCTTTGAGTTTGTGCGACAAGACACTGGACACAAGTCATCTGAGAAATGCAAATCCTCTGGGCTCTTTTCATCGACCTGGTCAGCGTATCTCCCTCTCTTCGCTCCTCACGTTTTGCAGCATAATCCAGTCCACCATAGTCAGGAATATCATGAATGATTGTAGACAGCCTTGTCTTACTCCTGTTTTTACTTCAAAGGCATCACCTAGCCTACCATTCTGAATTACTTGGCATGTGGCGTCTTTATATAGTTGTTGAATGAGATTGATATAGTTTTGTGGTATTCCGCAGTGTTGAAGCAGTTGTCAAATGACTTGTCGGTTGACGCTGTCGAAAGCCGTTTCAATGTCAATAAAGCTGAGGTAGAGAGTTGACTGCCACTCTATACTTTGTTCTCTGATGATACGTATCGTGACGTTGAAATTTGATCCGCACATGATTTCTTCTTCCTGAAGGCAATATGTATATATCGCACCCTGACTTAAGGTGGTTTGCTTCAACAGTTAAAGTGTACTTTCTAGATGTTCGATTGTATAACTGGTTAGCGTATTTGTCAATCTAACATAAAACGTTCACAATCCAGTCTCTGAACATTCATTCCATGTTTTTCTAGGCTATATAATTCAAGTTGTATTTTCTTTCTCAAAATTCCTTCTCAGTTTACAGGTCATTCGATGATTGCATTAAAAATTAATGAGGTAATTTAAGGTAAAGATGAACAGATTGAAAAATGGAAACATATGAATGAAATCCAAGAAACAGGATTTGTTAAACGAAATCAAATAATTCATCATTATTGTCCATTTTCAGTGGATGAATTGATAAATTGAGTCGTATCTTTAATTGTAATTAAGGTCATTAACTGATTTGTTTTCTCACTTCATTCCGAATATACAAACATGCACGTACACAAGCACGCATATGGATATACTGAATCCAGTTAAGGGGAAGGATCAATTCATAAGTACTCTGCCTACAAACGGTCCGTTTCACTTGAATATTCCTTGCTTAGGTGAATTGTCCAGTCAACAGGATTGGAGACAACTACAGATCTAAGATGACATAGTGGGTTCTGTGATAGAAAAGTATCATGAAGAAGTGAAACATATTATTATTTGACAACGTGAGGCTGATATGTACAAATTCGCCTATGAATACGGTTGATGAATTCACCGTCCAAATGATGGAAGCTGTTGTCTAATTCTTAGATCACTCTGATCTGACTGACTGATGAAATCTACTGACACGCCTTTCTGCAAACAACAGATGATTGATATTCAAGTAGTTGTTGGTGTGAAAATTCTACCTTAGATCGAAATAGTTCAGTGTGGTTTTATTCATCTTTCACACTTCTTCCCACCTGATTTCAACGAAAGTCTGTTGAGAAATATATACGGTTAATGTCTATTTTACGCTGATGTTCAGTTACACAACCACTGAAAACAGTGAGAACTACATAGCTAGTTCATCCTAGTAAGGCACTAGTGATCCCCCTTACCCGGCGATCACTTTATCATCAAAATCG